TCTCAAAGAGCGCATCCACAAGGCAGTCGTGGAGACGGCTGCGACGGTGCTTGGCATGACGGAAGAGCCTCCCCTGGACTCGCCTCTGCAGGAGCTGGGCATCGACTCACTCGGCGCTGTCGAGTTCAGAAATGCCTTGTCGTCCAAGATCGGCGTCAAGCTGCCCGCCACCACTCTGTTCGACTACCCCACTCTGAACGCCATCATCGGCTTCATCTGCAATGAGATCTCTGGCGCGGCGGACGAGATGCCTGCCGTCGACGACAGGGTCAAAGTGCAGGCTCTCGACAGTCGCGGCGGAAGCCCGCCAATCGCCATCATGGGTCTGGCCTGCCGATTGCCCGGTGGCGTTGACTCGCTGGGGAGCTTCTGGCGGGTGATGTGTGAGGGGCGCGATTGCGTCACCACGATCCCCAGAGCGCGGTGGAATGCGGATCTGTGGTACGACCCGACGGGCCAGGTGCCTGACAGCTACTACACGAAGGCGGGTGCCTTCATCGATGGCGTGGAGCTCTTTGACAACCAGTTCTTCCGGATCGCGCCCCTCGAGGCTAAGTTCATGGACCCTCAGCAGAGACTTCTGCTGGAGGTCAGCTACGAGGCATTCCACAGCGCTGGAGTGTTCGGCAGCGGCAAGTTGCAAGCCCTGAATGGGAAGAGCATCGGCGTCTACGTCGGGTCCATGTCGCAGGATTGGTGCTTAATGCAGCACGAAGCATCAAGGTTCTCCACTATGGGCACCGCATCTTGCCTACTGTCGAATCGCATCAGCTACATCTTCGGTCTCAAGGGGCCGTCGCTTTCTGTCGACACGGGCTGCTCCTCGTCCCTCATCGCTGTCGACCTCGGCGTTAAGGCACTGCTCTCGGCGGACGCATGCAGAGAGGGTGCACTGTGTGGCGGCGTCAATCTCATCCTCTCACAACATGCCTACATAGCCGATTGCAGGTAAGGATACTGGAAAGATATTACTTGACCCTTGTTTGCTTGCTCGTGTGTGTCCTCTCTCAGGGCCCAGATGCTGAGCATCGACGGCCGCTGCAAAACATTCGATTCGGGTGCCAACGGCTACGTTCGCGCCGAAGGTGTGACGGCTGCGTTCCTTCAGCGTCTCGACCCGTCTGGCGACGTCGAGCCGTACGCATTGATCCGCGGTAGCGCTGCCAACCACAACTGTGGCGCGAGCCTCACCGCTCCCTCGGGACCGGCGCAGCAAGTCGTCATCCGCGAGGCACTGAAAGAGGCCGGCCTGCCGCCCAGCGCGCTCTCGTTTGCCGAAGTGCACGGGACCGGCACGCTTATGGGTGACGCGATCGAGGTCGGGGCCCTAAGGGCCGTGTTCCGCAAGAGGCCTGCTTCATCGCCGCTTGTGTTGGGCGCCTTTAAGAGCACCGTGGGCCACCCCGAGGCCGCATCGGGGATCACGAGCCTCATAAAGGTCGTCCTCACCTTGCGCCACGGCATGGCGCCGCCCAACCTTCATCTCAGTCAGCTCAACCCACACATCGACATCGACAGCCCTGGAGACTTCCCCTTCGTCCTGCCGATCCAAGGGGGAGGAGGCGTCAAAGTTGAGCCCACAGAAGAGACCAAGCACACTGGCACGCTCATTGGTAGTGCCAGCAATTTTGGAATGGCAGGCGCCAACGCGTACGTCGTCGTTGAGGCACGTGCCGGCGGCCTGGGCCGCGAACGCCTCGACAACCCTGTCTCTTCCACGTGGAAGCGCGAGCCCTTCGTATGGGACACCATGGAGGTGATGATGCAGAAGATGATGCAGAAGGCTGCCAAGAGCCTTCGCCAGCGACTGGCCAAGCCCGGCGGATCTGACGGCGATTCCTCCACTGTCGCCTCGCCGTCAGACGATGCCAATGCCATCCCTCTGGACCCTCAGGAGCTCCTCGACATGGCGCGGCAACAGACAGGACTGGAGCAGCTGGTGCTCTCCGAGGAAGATGTGCTCGCGGCTGCTGATGTCTTGGTGAAGTCGGCCCTGCCGGAGGGCAAGGACATGTCCTTCCTGGGCAGGTTCCTGCTGAGCCAAAGGGTCCGCCAGGCCTTCTGCAACCTGCTCTACATGGCCGAGGCCCACAGCCACCCCGCCATCCTTCGCCAGCAGATAGAGCAGCCCATCTTCGTTGTGGGTTTCGACCGAGTCTCCGTGTCACTCGTGCAGCAGCTGCTGGCCTGCGATGAGGCCAACCGGGCACCGACATTCAGCGAGATGCTATACCCATTTGGCGAGCAGGGCGAGTACGTGCAGGGTGCATCCCCCCAAGAGGTGAGTGGGTGGACGTTATTGATGGCAATATGGCGTTCATGTGCATGACCTTCATGCTGATCGTCTGTCTGTCTGTCTATCTGTCTGACTTGTGTCTGTCTGTCCAGGATTCTCAGACACGGCTTGTTGCTGCCCAGGAGGCCATGGATTTGATGTTCTCGACCAACGACTACCTGACCCGCCTCGGCACCCTCACAGCCGACACGCCCTTTGACGATTCAATGATTCTCGAAAACTCGCTCCGATCTGCCTCCTTTGCCACACAGTTCGATGCCCCCGTGTACCAGTCGTGGCTGTCGAGCAACCACCCGAGCTACACCTTCCACAAGACCTTCCTGCAGCACCTGCAGTGGCAGCGGGCAGGCGAGCCAAAGAAGTGGCTACTGGCGTCGTCGGACCATGTGGGCCACCTTGACGATATCTTGGCGACCTACCCCGGAGCAAAGATCATCTTCGCCCACCGGTAGCGCAACGATGGGCGAGCTCGCTGGTGTTGTGTTGGTCAATTATCCTCTCTCTTTTTCTGTCTGTCTAATCATCTTTCTTCTGTGTCTGTCTGGTTGTCTGTCAGGGATGCATGCGAGACCGTCGCCGGCCGCTGTGAGGAGGTGCTGTCTCTCCGTCGTGGCCTTATGGCGGTCGACGTATGCAAACTGGCCGAGAGTGAGCTGCAGCAGATGGCGGCCAACGCCAGAGCAGCGGCTGACTTCAGGAGGCGCCACGCCCACCTGAAGGGCCAGTTTGCTGACGTAGTTTTTAAGGACCTCATGGCCAATCCCCTCAGCTCTGTCAGGACAGTGTACAGGAAGCTCAGGCTGCCCTTCTCCTCCCAGACCGGTGCTGCCATTGGGAGGGTGGTAGTCGCCAACAGGAGCCAGCGGAGCCTGCTCAAGTCAGTGCCCGCGACCATCGGTGACTTCGGCCTGGACGAGGAGGACCGGCGCTTTGACGCCCTGTGTGTGGACAGCACCAAGGGCAAGGGCTGGGGCAAGACGCGCCGGCGCATGACTGTGGGGTGTGTGCCAAGCTTCAGGCGATAAGCGATGGGCTGCTTGGGAGGGGATGGTATATATGTGTGCATGCATCATGAAGAAAGAAATGGTTTCCTCGCCCTGTGGGCACATCACATGTGTGTGGAGGGCGGTGTGCAGTTTTGTGTCTTGTCTTGTCTTGTCTTGTCATTTGTTATGTTATGTTATGTTATGTTTCGGTGTTTATCTATCAGTGGTGTGTGTCGTCTCTGTCTCTCTCTCTCTCTCTGATCCGGTGTCTGTCTGTCTGTCTGATCTGGGTCAGTCACTTTTTACAAAGTTCTCTCATTTCCTCAACATCTCTCGGTGCTTTGTCTTAAGTCTTGTCTTGTCTTGTCTGTTGTCTGGTGTTTATCTACCAGTCGACGTGCTCTGCTCTGCTCTATCTTTGTCGTCTTGTGTTGCGTGTGTGTATGTGTGCGTGTGTGTGTGTGCGTATGCGTGTGTGGAATTGTATGTGTAGATAGATAAAGGGTGTGTACGTGCGCAGATGTACGTACGCACCGAACGCACCGTGCGTACCGTGGGCTGGGCCACCCATATGTCCGATCGTGGCGGCCATGGCGTGGCCAGAGAGAGTGTTATGTTCTGGACTCACTCGTATGTATGTATGTGTCGAAACTCACTGGCTGGATCGGAGCGTGCCTACTTGCTACTGCCCTCGTCTATTGTCAACAGGATAGATAGGTGCATGGCATGCGATGCGCGCTTTGATTGCATGTGTGTGAGGATTGGATTGCAGAAGAGTGACGCACGCTTGTGACGGCTCGCTGACGAGAGAAGCACCTTATTGAAGCGCGCCAGTGTCTGTCTGTCTGTCTGTCTTTCCTCCGTGACATGCGGTGATTGATGGTTTTGCGGTCTTGACTCTTTTTGGCCATGACGATTTTGGTAAACAAAGAGGGCTCGCACGGCACGGCACCGCAGGGGTGTGTGTCGCCGTGCGTACTTCCTGGTTGCTTTAAGAGAGAGGGGAAAAGTGTTTTTATATCAAGGTGGAGTGTGCTGTCCTGGGTGGTGGGTGCGATGTGCTGTGTTGTGCACGAGTGCGGTACGGCGCTGCACTCTTTTTTGTCGGCGGCGGCGAAACGGGTCGTTTCATAGTGGGTGCCACATGGTGTTTGTCCCAGCCATTTCTCGGCCACTTCTGTGCCGATGGTGCCCGCCGCCATGGTGGTCTAGTCCATGTGGGTATGTACGGGTGTGAAGAGCCACTTGGTCTTGTCGATATCCATACCAACATCCACACACACATGGCTGCACATACACACTCACACACACACACCTGATGGCACAGCCATCTAGAAACTGTTTTTTCAGTGACTTAGTCTGAGTGTCTCCCGAGGATAGACCGTCACGTTGCCTCCTCGAGAAAGGCCAGCCGTTCGCAGATACGTATTCATACCTGCCTGCACGCCTTGCTGGGTGCTGTGGTGGTTTTGAGTGGTGTGTGACGTGTCTGTGTGTCTGTCTGCACTACACCCAGCTGGCATCAGTTGAGACACAGAAACCATTGGACAATCACGGCCACTCGGTCAGAAATGCATGCATTCCTAATACCGCTCAGCTAGCTGAAATACGAACCTCTACCAATACACACTGATCAGCAGCGAGGCGAGTGAGTCCACACGCTTACCAAACACCACCTGTCACTATCTAACATGTGTATTGGTCTGTCCGTGGCTCAGCTCCACCCTGCGTCGCTTATGGGGCGTCCCTCCCTCCCCCACCGCATCACACCCGCTGTCTTCCATGATCGATGTCAGGATGGTGGCCGTCATGATCGCAGTGTGTCCCGTGTAACGCTTGGAGGGAGAAGGAGCGCAAAAATGCACCCACTACGAGCGCCCACCATGACTGGGCTCGAACAGGAGCATTCGGAGGTCAGCAAGCATGGAATTGATCCATCGGCAGCCTCACCGGAAGCCAGGCCACGCTTGTTTTCTCTTCTCATGCAGATCAGCTGCCTGATGTACCGCCTGTCCGCACTGGACCCATCAGCACTCTCATCGCAGGTACGTACGCCCAGAGGCAGGCAGCACTCACGAAGCGACATCGGCAGAACAAGGGCGGATACACACGCCCCTGCCGCTGTGTGTGTGTGTGTCACGCATGCAGGATTGTTCGCTTCACATGATAGCCGCATTGCATCAGTATGCCAAGCTGAAGGCCACGCTGAAGGCGCTTGTCAAGTCGGCCACCTTCCCTCAGCCGCGCACTGGCGCATCGGTCAGCCAAACCGTGACACGATACACGCGAGTGATTCGTGTGTCGCGTGTCACCAATCGCGTGTCTGTTGTGTGTTCGTTTGCCTTGGTCAGGCCAAGTTGAAGGACCTCCCGGCCGACGCCATGGCTCGTTTGCAGACATCCACAGACCTGACGGGCGTGGGCCGCCTCAGGACGACCGCGCGACTGATCAGGAGCCACATCCGAGATGCCCTCCGCAGCCGGCTGACCGACGCCGTCGACAAGGCGGGTCTGACGGGTGTGGTGCGGTTCGCTCCTCAGCTGGGCGACGGCGGTGTGACGAAGGCCCTGTGGCTGATGGAGGAGGGGGGCCGGTGGGGGGAGGTGGGGAACGGGCTGCGGTTTGCGGGGCAGCTGGGGTACTGTCAGCTGCCCATCACTATAGATGCTGGAGATCTCCAAAAGCACAACACCAAGACGGTAAGGGAGCACACAAACACGCGGCGAATCGAGCCATATGGGCGTGTGTCTGCATCTGTGTGTGTCAGGCCTATTTGTCAATGCCCCGTGTGACAGCCCAGTGGGTGATCGTCGGTCGCCATGTCGTCTTCCGCCGCGCTGATGGCCAGCAGGCCGGCACCTTCGAGCTGTTCCACGACCCCACCACCACGAGATCCGAGCCATCCGCGACGAGCCCGAGTTCGTCCTCACCCTCAACCCGCCCCTCCCCACCGACCACCTGCACCCCCTGCAGCAGCACCCCTTACAGCAGCACATGAAGCACGACGACCCTCCCGTCCGGTCGACAATCTATTATGACACCGAGGAGGACGGGGAGTGGGTGGCAGGCGGGGCTGACTTCATCTTCGCATCGGGCAGCGCCTTCATCGTGGATGTCATCAACTCGCATTACTACAGCAGTGGCGTCGAGTTCCACACCACGGAGATGAATATCGATCGGTACGTCATGTGGGGGAAGGGGACGTAGCGTCATACATGGGAGAAGCAGCGTGTTCTCCGTCCTTGCATGTGTGTATGTGTGTATGTAGTGGGGCGAGGGGTGGTTATTTGGACGGCCTGCTGACGCGGTCGCCCCACACATCGCTGGAGGGATGCACAGCCGTCGTGACGGGGGAGTGGGATGATGGGTCTGCATATCAGACTCATCTGCTGACGGCGTTCGACGACCCATTCATAGTATGGATCAACTTCTGTGTCGCAGCTGACATCCGTCAGACCGGTGAGCGGAGGGAGGGGAAGGGCAAAGCCAACGGCGTCTCGTGCAAGCAGGCCCTGTTGTCTCTCTCTGTGTCAGTGAAAGTCGTTCTGGCGACGACAGAGCAGCCGGTAGGCAATCCGGGCGACCCCCTCCCGGCCAGGTATCGGCGCTCGGCATGGCTGGCTCGGCGGTCACTCGGCTTCATCGCGCCCGTCTTTCTCGATGGCCAGACGCCATAGACGACACGACAGATAGATACACACGTGAATAGATAGGGGACATAGCTCCATATGTTACAGACGGACTGATTGATTGGGGTCTGCATGTCGCCTTTATTCGCGCTTGGCTCGTGGGGACTGATTACATGTGAAGAGACGCGCATCGATACATCTGCTGTCGTGATTGACTGAATGTGGTGTTTTCACACGCAGCAAGGAAGGCTTCATTCAATTACGGATTAGATAACAGGCCGTGGCGTGGCTCTGCATTGTCGAACCACCACCACAGCCATGTTCGTCACAAATACGCACACGCACCCAGACAGAGAGATGGATGGACACACACACCGACACCGACACACAAAAACGTCGTCACTGTCCCCGTCCGTCAGCGTTGCCTGCCTGTCCGTCCTTTAATTAAACCAGTCATGGCCATGGCGGGTGGGGTGGGTGGGCCTCACACACACACACACACCGGAGGTATGGTATGAAGGTATGGTGCACATACATAATGCATAAGTGCGTCCGCAATAAGTGTCTGTATGTGCGTGTTGTGTTGTCGATAGGCAGGGCTGCTGGCATGGCAGCCGGCTGGCTACTTAGCTATACACAACGGAAAAAGGCGCACTCCATCCATCTCAGCGACGAATGGGGGGATGGATGGCTGCGCCGGCCGGCTGGCCCGACATGGTCTGAGCTGAGCTGATCCACTCACTCACTCCTTCCCCCACTGATGACTGACTGACTGAAGAGTGACCGAAAGTCACGTACTTACAGAGGAAGACAACCAGGCCATGGCAGGCCCCCCTCTCTCCTTTACACGCCCCCCATTGGATGTCACTCACCATACACTGATGGAAAAGGACACATAACGGGGAAGTCAGCATGTGATGTCCGTCGAGTGTGTGTGTGGCCATGTGTATTGCATTGCTTACGGTTCCCATCCCTGGGTGTCCTGCCATGGGTCATCCGTCACCGGCCTGCAGGGCGCCAGGTAGGGCTCCGTCGGCAGGTGGCCGTGACGACGAAGCTGCACACACCGCCACATCACACACACTTTTCCTCTGGTGCTGTGCTTCCAGGGCCCATCGCACCCACCCACCTTTTTGTCTTGGAATGCTTCGTGGTACAGGAGCTTTGCAGTCAGACACAGAGATCCGCTGTCCGTCGCCAATCCTGGATCCAGCTCCTGCGAAGCACACGAGACAGACAACGCACTCGCCAATATGCTCTTGCTCCCTCCCTCCCCCCTTCCCCCCTCGGGCCCCAACTCACACCCTCACTGACTCACTCACCATTTCCCCTGGCCTGGACGCTCTCCCATTGAAGCCATTCGGCACGGCAAACACATGGCCCGTCCTCGGCTCGTGCGCCCCGTCATGTTTGGGGGTGTCGGTGGCTGGGTGTTGGTCGTGCTGCCACAGCTGGTTCTGGTTCTTGCCCAGCGGGACGTTGAGCCAGTCGCACTCCCACAGAATGGGCCTTCGCTCCTCCTCGTTGCCGAAGGGGATGGAGAACCGGTCGAGGCACTTCTTGACCTTCCTGTTGAATAGCATGCGGTTCCCACCGACAGTCGACCATCGCTGGCGGTCGTCGGGGCGCTTGCACGGCTCCTGACACACCGACAGACAGACAGACAGGGAGGGGGAGAGGGGGGACTGGATGAATGGTGGAGGCCTGGGTGTGTGTGGTGGGTGTGTGGTTGGCTGACGAGTATGAGGTGGTCTTTGTGTCTCCAGTCGTCCTTTGGTTTGTCCTTGTCGGCCTCGACGGCCGTCAGACACAGACGGGAGGCCGTGTGGCGCAGATGGTGGAAGTCTAACCACAGTCACCACAGAGGGAGAATGAGATATGTATGTCTGTCTGTCTGTGCAGCAATCTTGCTCACTTTCCATAAGGAGCCCCTTTCGTTCAAAGGCATGCCGGAACTTATCCACATACCTGAATTAATGCACACACACAGACAGGACAGCGTGTAGCAGACGGAGATGGGGTAGTGTCCGTCGAGTGCGTCAGTGGTTACTTACCATTGGAAGTCTTTGCACTTGAGTGCCGGCCGGAGAGCCATCCGCTGCTCCAAACCGGGACCTGCACACACAACACCACACCACACCACACCCAGCCATGGCTATTTGTGTGGGTGTGTCTGTCAGTGTTGTGTACCTACCGAGGTCAAGTGTCTTTGCCATGGGCTGTGCTTCGACAAAGTACTTGTAGTAATCGTCCAGCCACACCTTGGCCGCTCGCGCCTGCACTCCACACACACGCACACATGGATGTGCACTTCGTAATCAATGACTCAGCCAGCCACGTACGTGATTTCTCTGCACTTGATTGGGTATCGTTATCTGCACACGACGGCACGGCACGGACGCACACCAGGAGAGGGACGTTCAGCGCATTCTGGGACGAACAGCTCTTTTGGTGGGCACACTGACTTTGTTGGGTTTGGGTGGTCGTTTGAAGATGTGTCCTATCCTGGAATTCCGCTCCACAATGATCTCACCACCTGCATGTGGCATTGGTTGAAGAATAACACAAAGCTGCCCTCCTTTGTGTCTGCTGTGTCAAGTGTTGTGTGTTGCCCCACAATGTGCGTACCGCATAGCCAGACTCGTATAGACTGCTCGATGTTCTCCCCGCCCCACTCGCGCATCCCGGGGTCATACTTGCCGCTCTCTATCCACCTGATGACCAGACAGACAGACACACGCACACACACACACACAGAGACACGATGATCGAATCGAGCAAGAAAAGGCCCGCCTGCTGCCCATGTGTGTGTACCATTGTTTGGTGATGGCTAGAATGCCGCCGGAGGCCACGGGCACCTCGGGAGTGTTGTCGTCGTACCAATTGAAGTTGAAGTCCCACTCAAACATCATCTTGACGCCCCTCGCCGGGATCTCCTGCCATGTTGTGCCGTTCACGTCGGACACTATCGGCACAACTATCCTGCAACACAGCAAGCCACACACACACACACACACACATAGACACAGACATTCGCAGGTGTGCTCATCCATGGGTTCCAATGTGTGTTCCCACATCCCTTGGCACCGTTTGTAGTTTTCCTTGAGGTTGCGTATGAGTGGTGGGAGCCACCCGGGGATGGGACGGCAGTGACCGTCGAGGAACAACTGCACCCAAACACACACACGGACACACAGACACACACACCGAGGCCATGGGCGTCTCTGTCCGTCACGTCATGTGTTGGGGACGTCCTTCCTTTGTGTGGTGTCTGTCGTACGATGTATGGTGCCGATGCGGCGTCGGCGCCAGCGATTCTTGCCCTGATGAGTCCCTGCCTCTCGTCGTAGCGGAGGATCTTCACCTTGGGCCAGTACTTGCGATCCAACTCCTCCTCCAACATCTTCTCAACTGATGGATGGATGGGATAGATGACACACAAACACAGACACAAATGACAGGGACGCGTGTGTAGTGTGGTATGTGTGCCTGCCTGGTATGTATGTGTGCCTGCCTGGTTTGTCTGATGCGTCGTCGACGATGAGTATTTCCCTGAGCATGTGGGCCGGCGTGTCGTTGACGGTGTACTCGATGGTCTTGGTCAGGTACAGCTCCTCATCGCGCACTGGGACCACAATGCTGCAACATACACACACACACCACACACCACACACACGACGAAAGGTGTCCTCAGAGACCAGTCTAGTCTGTTCCCTCCCATCCATCCCCCCCTCTGACAGTCACCTGATCTGCTCGGGCCCCGCTGCTGGCTCTTCCTCGATGACCAGGGTATCGTCATCTTCGTCAACCACCACCCCTTTGACACCAGCAGCAGGATTAGCAGCAGCAGCGGCAGGCGGCTGCTCGTTCAGCACCAGCTGCTGCTCACCAGACCCTCCCCCCTGCCCGCTCTTGCTGCTCTCCACAGCAACGGTCGTGGGCAGTGTGAATCTGGTCTCCATCAGGGTGAGCAAGATCAGCTGCAGCACGGTGTAAGTGCCGAACAGCCGCCATGGCCGGGTGGCCTGCACCAGCCGCAGTCGCGGCGAAGCGCTCACGCCGATCTCGTAGATGATGGACACGAGTAGGACGAGCGACCTGGCGAGCCATGTGGATGCGGCGACCAGCAGGCAGAGTGTGACGATGACGACGCCAAGCCGTCGCCTCAGCTCCAGTGACAGTCTGTGGCCCTTCTTGCGGGCGATGTCCAGCTTCTTGGTGCCAGTCTCGATCAGAGATGGCACCACCATTGCTGACTCAGTACACTAACTCAGCCAGTCGTCAGTAACGAACGCAGTCGAGGGCTCCGGATGGTATATAATGAGCCGCTCTTGCGATGGCAGGGACGTCGTCAGGCGGTGGCTATCTCCAGCACACCCTCGCCATCTTGCACCAGAGCTGCTGGGCTGTCCAGATCTGCTCTACGCTGCAGCAGCAATCCCGAGTTTGCAGAGATGACGCCTCAAGGACCACGTGGCAGCTTAGCACATGCGATAAACTCGAACGAACGAAGTCGCACGGGCGAGGAAGCTCGCAAGCGAGCTTTTGCAGATCTCTGCCCGTGACGATGTCACCTCTTTATCCATCGACGCGTCATCGATGAGCTCTATGGAACCATCTGGTGGGTCGACTCCGTCATCCATGGCCACGGATCAGCCGAGGTCGAAGCGTGAGCGCGTCAAGAGGGGGCAGCTGATGCCCAAGAGAGGCCAGCGACTCACACAGACGCCAAAGGAGGCTGGAACAAGCCAAGGGTGACTGAACCAACCAACCAAACGTCGAGGAGTTTCCAGTCACCGTGTGTGTTTTGTGTGTTGTGTCTGTCGTGCAGCATTGGGGTGGATATCGAGGAGGCGTGCCCGAAGCTGGTGGCGCTTTACAGGCAGCAGGTGGAGGCACACACCGACAGTGCAAAGCCGGGTGGTGCAGCTGCTGCCGCATCGGCCTCAGACCCAGACGCCTCACAAAGTGAGTGGGCTACACATGGAGGAGAACATCGGTAGCTCCCATCTTGCCGGGCCTATGGGTGCCTTCCTTGTCTGTGTGTGTGTTATGTGTGTAGGGACGGTGGTGATCTGGATGAATGACCTGGGCGTGGTGAGTGAGCAAACACGGTGAACAGAAGTGCCAGCCAGCCACACTCTCTCTCTCTCTCTCTCTGTGTGTTGTGTTGGTTCATTCCATTCATTCAGGGAATGGTGGTGCGTCCTCGCGGCAAGGTGGTGCAGAGTTTGGGGTGGAACATCCCCCCCGGCCGGCAGATGCTGCATGTGGAAGAGGTCCTCTACCTCAAGGAAAGAGGTAAATGCCTAGCCTACCTGTATATCTTAAGATGGATGCCGCACATGCATTGCATTCACTGGGCTGCAAATGAAATGCCTGTGGGTGTGGTGTGGGTGTCATGTGTGTGTGACGTGACTGACAGGTTCGTTGGATGTGTGGGACGAGTCAGGCCGCCGCTGGTCGGTGCAGGACGCATACGACACCCTCATGGACCTGCACGACAGACAACTCAAGGGTCGGTCAGCCAGCCAGCCATAGATACACATTGCATCCACGCATCATATATCGCCTTTCCGTCCTTCCTACTCTTCTTGTGTGTGTGTGTGTGTGTATTTTAGATGAGGCGGGTCGTCCGCTGAGTGTGAGCTTGACGTGCTACATCGTCTACGCCCACATGAAGAGGGCAGGATACGCTCTGCAACGGAGGTACGCCGCCAAGTCCATGCCACACACAAATGCATTTACACACACATTCTCTCTCTCTCTCTCCTCTCTCCAGGCACCCAGCGGCCCTGCCCACCGACTCGTTGCCGAGTCCTGAGGAAGCCATGGCCCGGCTGCCCGCACCCCACCCATCCACCAACATGAGCCGACGAGTTTTCGCCAACTTCCAGCGCAGTGCACAAAGCGACCGCCCGACTGAACCAGACAAGGCATCTGGAGAGGCCCCCGACGTGCTGTCGAGTGCGTTGAGTCGGCTGGGTGATTGTGATGGTGGTGGCGGTGCGATGAGTGCTGTGAAGGAGGTCGAGTGCGATGCCGGTGAGCGTGTGTGGCGGGTGTTCATGCCCTGCGACAGGCGGCCCAGCTTCGACGAAGCGCCGGACTACGTACTGCACGTGGCCAAGTGAGAGATATGATGAGGTCTGTCTGGATATGTGAGTGTGTGTATGTGTGTGTGTGTGTGTGTGTGTATGTGCGTGTCAGGTGGACCGAGCCTCTGTGTGAGTTCTTTGAGGACCCTGAGGTGCTCCACGACCTGCATGCCGCCTCATCACCGCCAGCTGAGCCATCTGACATCCCGCCGGCCAAGAAGGCCAGGACAACGGCGGAAGATGACACCCGTCAGGTGCCTCCAGCCGCTGCTGCTGCTGATGGTGGTGGTGGTGGTGAATGTGGTGAAGAGGCGGGGAGTGCGTGTGGCGTCGGGGGTGAGGATGGCGCAGGCGGTGCCCCCCGGATGGGTCATTTGGTGGCTGTGGTGGAGAACGCGTCCATATGCTTTTTCAAGGTCAGCATACACAACATTACACGACAGAAGAGACACACGGCACCAGTGGATGTATAGTGATCATTTGATGTGTGAGTGTAGGTTGAGCTGCTGGAGGACAACTGTCGGATCGGAGGCGATGGCGCGGGCAGGCGTGGCCGATGAGTGAGACGCTTGTGTGTGCATGAACATGCATACGCTGTGCATATGTGGGTGCGTGCAATGCCTTGACGGACAATAACTGATTTACAATGACCGCACTGGTTGGTTAGGTGGGTGCATGGGATGCGTGCATGTGATTTGTGTCTTTTTTCCCTCTCTCTGGACAGAGACAGACAGACGACCGATCCTCTGAAAGCGTGTGTCATGTGTTCCTACCAACACACGAAGAGGCTTCAAGTGCAGACAGGCTCACAGTTCAGTCAGGGTCCAAAACTGCCAAAGACAGCAAAGGACAGTCGTCACGTCCACCCACACCCACATCCACCCAAACCTACACCCACACCCACACCCACACACCAGTCAACCCAGCCTATCATCCTGCGGTCGACGAAAAATAGGACGGAAAAATTCACCACATCACCACATCAGCCAGCGCAATGGTGGGTCGTTGACAAGCTAGCCACCTGACGCAGACCAACACACCAACCAGCAGCCACGGCAGCCTCCTGTGTGGCTTCCATGCACTCGAGTCGTACTGATCCGTAACACGTTGGCCACCTGATGACAAATCGGTCCTCTCATCCCCCTCACGGCGGTAACACGACGGGCCTTCCTCTCCCTCTCCACTCCAGCAGCAGTGGAGCAGCGCACAGCCATTCTCACTCACGTCTGAGGGGCCGCATGGCGTCCTGCTGGCCTCTTCAACTGCGGTGCATGAGCCGGTGGGGGCGTCGCCCGTGATGCCCTCAAAAAATATGGGTGGATCAGAGTCGATGACCTCGAAGGCCTCCCCTATGCGGGAGACATTTGTCTCGAGAGCCTGCCCCTGAAGGCAAACAGGACAGGGGGGAGACAGGGATGGATGTGGGAAGTGGTGGTTGAGGGGGCTTGCTTGGTTGCTTGCCTTGAGTGAGGTGACTCGAACCCGCAATGGAGGCTTCAAGAGCTCGTCGGGCCAGCCAAGGCCAGTCTCTGTCGCTTGGAACTTGAACATGCCTGCGTCCGTCCAGTGAGTGATGCATACCGGATATAACACAACACATGTCAGTATGTACCCTTTCTCTCATCCACTGCATGGCCGGCCGATATGAGCAGACCTGTGAAGCCTTGGCTCATCGTATACCACTTGTCGTTGATCGGATGGTAGTATTCGATACCCTTGACGGGTATCGGCAGATTGCGGGCCTGCAACTGCATCCAAGAGATAGACTAACACACAATACATGGGCGTGATGTTTGGGCCATGTCTCTGTTAGTCAGGCTACCCCGATGAAGTGCTCCGAGGAGCCACGGCCGAAGATGAACTGCACGGGAGTGGTGTCTGGCTCACAGTCCACAGCCACCCAGGTCGCTTGCCACAGCCCCTTCCTGCCGATCGACACAAGACATAAGATGGTCATCTTTGTGTCTTCCTTTGCTGAGTGCGCTCATATATGTGTGTGTGTAGGTGTGTGTGCAAGGCCGACCTGCTATTGAGCGACACGTCCATCTGATTCTCATACTCGCAGTCGCCACAGCTGCCGGCAACATGGGCAGATGGAGACAGACACAGGCACAGATGTGTGTCTCCATGGACGTATCAGCCGGCAGCTCACGCATTGTTGACAAACAGACGAGTCCGCTCGTTGGCTGGCGGTTGGTGCTCCTCTGGCCCTCCATGTTTGGACCCCAAGTAGCGCGGCCCCCGGCCGACATCCGTGTGGAGGAACTCGATGCACATGCCGCAAGTCCTCCCGTCGTAAAAGGTCTGCGACGACACGACAGGTAACGCTACGCTGCAACAAAAAGGCAGAAGACAGCGTCGATTGGCCATATAGGGCAGTCCAGAAGCCTTGGTTGCACATCCTTGACAATGTGTGTGTCTCCCACCTTGTCCACACGCCATTCTTGCCGGCGGCCGGCTCAGGCCACTGGAAGCACGTCCCGCGTTGCGACTCGCTCAGATTCCAGTAATAAGACAGCGAGCCCTCCCTTGGTGTCCTGTAGAGGTCAAGGACGGCGTCATCGACGGCCTCGGCGCTCAACAAGACGGGCCCCAAGAGAAGAAGAATGCAGCCTGAGGCAGCCGACGTCATGGCTGCTGACGAATGCTTGGCATTCAGTTCGTCTCTGATCTGCTTTGCTGTGGTGTTTGTGTTCCCTTTTTCCTCCGTCAACGAGGGGATCTTCCTCCCGATCGCAATTGCGAGCTCGAGTGTCTCTCGAAGGGATTCTCTCCATGAGAGACGCACACAAGACAGAAGGGACGCGACTCTACATGCCGCGTCTGCTAAAGCAGAGCACTTCTGCCCCCGCCTGTGGTTTCTGTGCTGCTGGCGAGCCCTCTCTCAGACAGACACAGGGGTGCACCAAATCGGTTACAGACCGCATCTATCGGGTAGTCATCAATCAACAAAATCCATCAATACGATGTGGCCGTTATCTCACCAACCAAGTCAGCACGCATGGGTCACATGATGCTAATGAGCCGCAGCTCAACGTACATCTTAAAGGGCGTTATCACACGTCTGGTCTCGCCCACTCTCATGGCCATCAGCGCCTCACGGAACCACTCGGCTCGCACACTGCTCATAGGATACTCGTACCGTCGGGCCTCGTGGACCTTCTGGCTGCCATTAAACTTGTCCCGCCAGTACGTGCAGTCGTATGTGACCACCTGGTGTCTCAGCGGCATCAATCCCGTCCCCTCCTCCACAATCTGATACCGCACACCGGACGGCGACACACTCCCACAGAAGCAATCATCAGGTTCGCCACTCGCCCGGCACAAACGGGACAAACTGCACACACACACACACACACACAGAGAGAGAGAGAGAGAGCCACTGTCAGTCAACAAAAACCTGCCTTCATGACGCGTACGTGCGCCTGCATACCTTTGTTGGAGTGCCTGTGTGATGGCGTTCCCCTTGGCGGCAGCGCCACCCTCAATGACGCCGTACATCCGGGCGGTCTTGTCCAGGAATCGTTGCTCTGTCGCGTTGGCCCCCCGCAGCACCACACAGGCCAGAGGCAGCTGTGCGCCGGCCGCAGTGTGCCGCTGGCGGCGATAGAAGTCCACCAGACGGCGGAAATGTTCGTCAGAAACTCCGTGCACAGCGCCCGACCACCTGATTGGATGCACACACATCCACACACACTCGTTGCATTTGTTTCTCTGCCCCTCCCTCCTCACACACATATCGAATCGATTGCGCAGAGGAATGTCGCCCATGTCGTCCAGGGTGGCCTGAGTGGTGGCGATAGTCGTTCCGCACAAGTCCACTGAGCGGATTTCGTAGCCCTTGCGGACGTGTGGCAGGAACGGATGGGCGGCAGACAGGGGAGCCAGGAAGGGCCGCACCGCCTGATACATCCATCCATGACACACATACACATAAACAGCTCCATGCTTGCTGATGCATAGCACTGTCTGTCTGTCCGTGTGGGTCACCTGTATCTCGGCCATGACCTTGTCGTATGCCGCCTTCTTGGTTGCCGCTCTCGCGCCAGCCTTCCCTTGCGGGCAGCGAAGCCCTCTATGAATTTCTTGACAGCCGCCCAGAAGGCGTTCAACTCGGGAGGGATGTTTGTGGCCGTCAATTGGGGCCTCTCTGCGGACCGTTTCTCCTCTACGACCGGCGGGAGCGGTGACAGCAGCAGCTTAAACCAGAAGTCATGAACTCCTGAACAAAACATCCGGCGTATGCATGTGTGTGAGTGCAAACATCACACCCATCCCTCCCTCCCTACCAGTGAATTGTCTCTTGTGGGCCTCACAGAGCAGATGGTCCACGCCCTCCTGCCCCTCAAACAGGGCGTTGCGCGCCTGCTCAAAGGCGCGGGGGTCCATGTCGACGAACACTCGACTGTCCTGGTCCCGGATGAATCGGCCATCCCACTTGCCGCTGAACAAGATGGACAGGGGCGACCCCTCGACGCTGCACATGACACAAGTATGTAAGCAGGGGAGTAATTAAGCAGGGAACCACTACACCTCGTCAGGTGCCGCCGCTGCACACTCGACAGGCTGCCGCCCACGTTGAGCTGCAGCATCTCGTCGCCCGAGGCCCTTGAAAGCTGATTGGCGCCATGGTCGTTCAGCAAGGCGATGATGTCGTACGCCGACGACAAATCTCTCTGCTGGTCTGCCAGGTCCTCCAAGGGGCCGACGATGGTGCTGTCGAGATCACAGAGGACACCGTGACGCGTCAGGGCATCCATCACGGGAAGCTGATGAGTCACTGGCTCACGAAGGGCCAGTCGGTGACACGGGACAGAACGGTCACACATGCCATCATAAGTGAGTGCGTTGGTTGTATTCTGCCCTTTCATTGTGGTCTTTCTGCCCTTTCATACCTGATTACTGAGAGAGATGGCGGCGCTTCTCTTCTTTCTCGCGGGCGATCTTCGGAGAGAGAGAGCGGTTTCACGGTGGCTTTTTGCGAGCTTATCTGACCTCAAGATCTGGACGCTGGAGCCTCATTCATCAACCTTTGGTCTACGGCATGCGTGCGTCCTCTGTTTGCCTCTTGATCTCCTTGCTGCCCTTCATCAAGGCATCGTCAGAGACCGGCACCCTCACAGTGCCCCTTCGGCAGCGGGCATGGGGCGTGCCGATGGCCCTGCAGGGACGGGAGGGCAGCAGCGGCCGCATCGACCCATCCATACAGGCGGGGTACTATGCCATTGACACGCAGGGGGAAGATCTGATAGAGGAGGGAGAGCAGCAGGCCATGGAGAAGATCGCCATGGAGAGATTGACGCTGGCGGCTGCCAACTGGCTGCGACAGAAAGGTAGATAGACAGACAGACAGACACCCACAAGCCCATGTCATCATCTCTTTGTGTACCTTTCATGTGTGTGTGTGTGTGGTCTCAGGTTGGTCTCCATCTGTGGTCGACGCTGCCGTCCGTGAGATCGGCATCGCGCCGGCACTCACTTCGCTTCAGGATGCGGCCATCGCCAAGCGGCCGCAGGACGTAGCTGTGCGTGAAGCCATCGAGGCGATAGGCCAGCAGGCAGACAGCCTCCTGACCAGGCAGGAGCAGCAGCTGCAGCGAGTCTTTGAGGACAAGGTGACGCGGAAGGTCAGGAGAGGCGTCGACGAGCAGACGGCTCGGGAAGGCGTCATCAAGGCATGGCAGACGGCGGCTGGAGTGGGGGGCGTCAGCACCCGGCGCGTCATGGCCATGATCAGACGCAGGACCACAAGTGATCCCGACTATCGCTCGTTCGTCAGTGAGGGTCAGGACAGCCTTGGGCGCACCACAGCCACACTCAAGGGCAAAGGCAGGGCGGCAGCACCAGCATCTGGAGGCGGCAGGATGCCCGAGCCAGCGGAGAAGAACAGCGTGATATTTGAGCCGGAGGAGAGCGAGCTGCAGCGTCTGGTGATCGAGTCGCCGGTGCCTGTGCTGATTGACGTGTATGCCGACTGGTGCGGCCCCTGCCAGCAGCTCAAACCCATCCTCGAAGACGTCGTCACGCAATTTGGGGGCATGTTCAGGTCAGTCCTGAAAGGCCTCTCGCCCACAGGCAGAAAGATCACATCCATGTGTGTGTGTGTAATGTGCTGTTCAGATTGGTCAAGATCAACAGCGACAAGCACAAGTCATTATCTCAGTGTCTGGAGGTGGAGGGGCTGCCCACACTCTTATCGGTCATCGACGGCGACATCGTCGAGAAGTCCACTGGCGTCGGCGGCAGCGACCAGCTCCAGGCGCTCATCACACGGCTGGCCCAGAGGCAGCCGGAACTCTCACAGAAGGAGAAACTGCAGCCAGTCAGCCGGTAAGTAAGTCAACAGCATGGATGGTTGGGTGGATGGACGCACGTGTCATATGCGTGTTTGTTGTGGCCTGCAGGCGGTTCTCGTCCATGTGTGGGAGGGCCGCCTTTGGCTTCGCCAAGAGTGAGAAGCTCGACTATGACATCAAGAAACAGCTCGATCAGCTCCTCAAGGTCACATACAGAGCCACAGAGACGCGCATCGCATACATCTCTTTCTAGTGTTGCACTGCACCATTCTCTCTCTGTGTTGATTGATTGATTTGTGGATGCAGGCGCCCGGCATGACGTCTGACAAGGCACAGGAGACGGTGCGCATTCTGTCCATCTATCTCAAGAACGTCGCCCGGCACCCACAAGACCCCAAGTACAGGCGCATCAACCTCCTCAACGCCAAAGCAGCCGAGACCGTCGCCCCCTATCCACCCGCACTCGCCATCCTCCGACTGGTGGGCTTCCAGGACTCTGCTGACGTCTCTGCTGGCGCCCCGGTTGCCATGTCCTACGAGAGCAGGAACCTCGCCCCCGTGACGGCGGCGTACAAGACCCTCACCGCATGGAAGGCGAAGCAGGTGTCGGGTGACGTCGTGGGTATGCCCATCCCGTTGCCCCACCGGCATAGGGCGCAGTATCAGCAGGAGGAGAGAGGGGTAGACGTGGAGGAGCATCCGCCAGAGACGACACCCACAGCACCGGCTGCCCCGGCCGTCATGACGACTCCTGAGCCGATGCCGATTGCTGCAGGGACCTCTCAGCAGATGGAGTGCGGCACCGACGGCGTCTGCCGACCACGCACCGGCACACCGCTGCCCGCCACACAAGACGAGCAGCAGCATCAGCCATCATCAGCTGACGCCAGCGACTTCCTGCGGCGCACAGCGATGCTCCGCAGACAAAGACAAGAGCAAGCGGAGGGTGCGGAAGCGACAGCAGTGGATGAGTCAACATCACCGTCACAACCACCACCATCAAGACGGCCAAAGCTGCGCCGATCACCAGCAGCCAAGAAGGAGGCGACGTTGTGGAGCTCGGGCATTCTGCAAAGCGACGACAGGAAGGGCAAGGGCAACCTCTACTTCGGGGGAGACAGCACGCTCGTCGAGGCGCCGTCCGAGGCACCACAGCCAGCACCAGATGATGCTGGGGGAGAGGGCAAAGAGCAGGGCGGGCAGACTGACGAGGGCAACGACCAAGGGGAGGGCAGTGAGGGGGGCAGCAAGTGATAGCTGGGTTGATCTGGCTTGGCAACGAAGCAGTCGATGTGTGAAGTGGTGCAATCGGCCTGACTGCAGTGTCGAGGTTTTTCGGTAACTGTTCCATTCGTTCCTGCATGGTTTTCGTTTGACGATGGGTGGACCCTGTGCGTGCGTATTTGTCATGTGTCGGTTTGTTTCAATCTTTGTCAGTCACAAACATCCCTCCCGAGCTGCAACGGCCGCACGCACACGTCAACGTCCACCAACCATCATCGACAAGAACACACGAAATATAAAATGCAGGCAGAGATTGCTGTGTGCCTATATGCCTTCCTGCATGGAAAGGGACGTCCACAGTTCATTGAACATGGCCATCTGTCTGTCACAGACTGAGTGACAATGCACTGACTGACTGAGCGGGACAACAAAGTCAACAAACGAGCGTCTGGATATAAAATGTAAGCAGCAATCCATCGATCACTGCCTGCACACACGCAGCAGAAAGAGACACAAAGGGACGAACCCGTCATGACCTCCGTGCCTCTCTCCTCTTTGCTGCGCACGCGCACACATACACACACAGCCAGCCAGCCAGGCAGGCAGGCAGGCATCTTGTCCCCAGCGCGCTCGAGTCTTCAGCACACCCTGGAAGAAATCGGCCACATCGTCCAGCAGCAGCGGCTTGCAGCCTCGGATGTGTGCTTGGATGTCGTAGAAGAGGATGAATACCGCAGCCACCAGCAGGAGCAGCAGCATGAGCCTAGGAGGGCGGTGAGCCCCCCCATGGCTGCGTAGCAGTTGAGCTGCGTCACTGGGCACAGTCTCATGAAGGCGAGCGTCTGGGTGAGCCGATGGTAACCAAATACTCAGGCACGAACATATGCTCTCCCACCACACGGAGGCGACGAAGAGGCCCCCGAACACGCCGACGAGGGCGAGCAGAATGTTCTTGGTGATTCGCAGCGACGCCCACTGCCACCATGGGGGCTGGGGGCTGAGGTCGGCGCAGCCACGTCAGGCACGGTCGACTGCAGCGAAGACACAGAGAAAAGACCGATGTCTTTATTCATGTGTGTGACACTGTGTGTTCTGTCTGCTTCGCTGTACTCAGACCGAATTCATGGCATCTTCGACCTGCCCTTTGCTGCAGACAAGCCTAACTGTCACGCCAGGACACACAAAAACAGACAGGCATATAGATAGATGGGCATCACATGTGCGTCTCACTTCTGACCATCCCTTGCCGCCCGCCCTTACCGGATATGTACGTGACATCGACTGACACAGTGCGTCACGGCAGGAAGGAGAAACACCGACCCACAGATATAAAATGTAAGCAGCGATGAATGACTGCAGCACACACACAGAGACACGGCCTTGCAGGATCGAGATCTGCTACATCCGCATTGAGCGCTACCTCCTCACTCTCCCTCCACGCCTCTTTGGGCTGCACGCTGCGCACACCACACACCTAACTCCCCCAACCCACCCCTTGCTCCCCTCCGGTCTCTCGCAAAGAAACGAAACAGCCAGACGGACGACAACAAAGACTGATACTCACGGTGTGTATGTAGGCGAGTATGTTGATCTCTGAGGCTGAGATGGCAGACAGACAGACAGACAGACAGATAGATAGACAGACAGACAGACATGGTGTGTGCGTGTGGTGTGAGTGTGCGTCCTCCGTACTTCCAGGGAAGAGTATTGTGTTAGACAGCAGCTGGCCCAGCACACACCCCGCTGACCAAATATCCACCTCGCCCCGGTACTTGATAGAAGCCATGAGGAGCTCTGTTGGACCGACAGCCAGTGTGTGTAAAGTGTGTGTGTGTGTGTGTGTCCTAGCTGTCAGTACGGCGTGATTGCGTCACCCACCTGGGGAGCGGTACCACGGGGTGACGACGTCGTTGGTCATCTGCATCAAGTGAGTGCACGCAGGGGTGAGTGTTTGGTACGTAATACTGTGACCGTTTGTCTGTCCATCTGTCTGTCTGTCTGTCTGTCTGGGGGCACGTACGATTTATGTGGGCGCCGCGTTGCGTGTGCTGCGGGCCAGGCCGAAGTCTGCTATCTTTAGCTGGCCATCGCGCCCCATCAGCAGATTCGACACTGAAGAAACGAACGAACGAACGAACGAAGACGTACATAGACACACACAAGACGTGTTAGTATTCCGTCGTGTGGGTTTCAACGTTTGATGTCCCTGTGCAGCACCAAGTGGCCGTGGAGGTAGACCAGCCCGGCCAGCAGCTGCTGCATAATGCTGTTGACCTCCCTAGTGTCGAGCTGACAGACACACACACACACACACGTGTACGTTCGTGCGCGCCTGTCAGTCTTTTCTCTCCCTCTCCCTGTGTTGGCACCCACCATGGCGTGTCCGCGCTTGCGGCACGCACTAAACAGGTCGCTGCGAAGAGCCACGAGTGCCATGATGCAGTGAGTGCAAACAGCCGGCTGGCTTACGTCGTGTTGGCTGGCTGGTGTGTTGCTTACTGCTCGATAAGCTCAAAGATAAGGTGTGCGGTGGCCCTGCCGTTGCCGCCGGGGGCATGCTCGATGACGAGGTCGAGCAGCTGGATAACTGCACCCACACACGCACGGGACAAGCAAGACACACACACAGAGTCCAAACGGATGTGGGAGTGCGTGCTGGATCAGTGTGTGGGTGGACTTGCCGTTGGGGTGCTGCCGTCGCAGGGCGGGACATTTTGGATGCGGCCGGGGATGGGAGTGTTCTTGGGCTGGTGGGTTCACGGCGACCCCACGACGACGGATAATCTTGAGACGGCCACTGGTGTCCCGTCGTCATCGTCGAGAGTACGCTTTCGACCTGCATATGAATACACAACAAATCACGCAGGCAGGCGAACGGGATGAGAAGACATCGCACGCTTTCCTGAGCTTTGCTCACCTCTTCACCATGGTATCGGTTCCTTGACGTCCTTGCCACGAAGGATAAGATGTGGGCCTCAGGGCAACTGCACACACAACATAACACTGAGTGGGTGCTGCGCGTCGGTCATCGTCTGTGCCTACCGACGGTGCAGTCGTCGTAGCTGAGGGTCTTGATGGCGACCTGTCTGCCGGTGGGCTTGTGGCGAGCACGATATATTGTCCTGGGAGGGGACACACAGACACACAGACACACAGAGACACAGACATCCGTTCAGCCAGCCAGCCAACCTGACTAAGCTGACCCACTCACCCGTCTGTGCCCTCTCCCAGGACGGCCTCCTTTTCGTACTCGTCGAGGCTCGGCGTCGCCCGCTCCAGCGCTCCCCACAGCACCTTCTCGTATGGCGGCTCCTCATCGTGTGGGTGAGGCTGTTCTCCTCCGGCGCCGCGACCATAACCCTCGCCCTGCCGCTGCCGTGCGGCCAGCTGAGCGCCCCTCCCTCTGACGGAGAGCAGACAGATCATGCCACGCCACAGAAGATGAGATCTCACGCAAATGCAATGCACTTGTGCAAGATGCGCCCACACCTTCCCTCCTTGGCTGCCTGCCTCCCTGCTCACTTGTGCGGTCCTCTGCCGGCCTCCCGAGCTGGCGGCAACTCGTCATCCGCACCCGACAAGGGGCAGACAGACAGACAGATAGACAGACATCTGTGCAGCCAGCCAGCCAATTTGGCTGAGCTGACCCACCCGTCGGTGCCCTTCTCGTAATCGTCGAGGCTCGGCGTCGCCCGCTCCAACACAGCACTTTCTCGTATGGCGGCTCCCCGTGCGGCGTGTCCTCTTCGTGTGGTTGAGGTTGTTCTTCTCGGGCGCCGCGACCATGGCCCTTGTCCTGCCGCTGCCGTGTGGCCAGATGAATGCCCCTCTCTCTGACGGACCAGAGACAGGTCATGCCACGCCACAGAAGATGTCAGCCAATACAACGCAAGAGTGCAAGATGCACCCACACACGTTCCTCCCGGCCTACCTAGTTGCGTCCCCCTCTCCCTGCTCACTTGTGCGGTCCTCGGCCGACGCAGATTTCGTCCAAATGAAGTATCCCAACTAAGCCATTCCTGCCCCTATGAAAACTGCACGTGGACGCCGTACGGCGTATCTCTTTTTGCAATCCCACGAAAGAGTCCTCGGCAGCAGATAAAAATTCCCCGCCCCGCTGGACGTCCGGTGGAGGCGACCTCTTATTCGACTCTCCAGTCGCAGATAGCATCTCACACGCCTGATTGCAACCTGCCCTCGACAGACCAGCTTCGCGCCTACCAACACGCCTGCACACACACACAGACACACACACACACAAACACATGTGACCTCCTCTGTTTCTCCCGTTCTGCTGTTCCTTCCCTCAGCGCAATACACCAGCTACTTTTTTCTGCTCGGCTGGACAGCTCCACGGCCATGAGGGCTGGCACCTTGCTGTTGACCGAGATGGGCAGATGGAAGAGGGACCGCACTGTGACCCATGTCTCGGGAGTCTCAACCAGCAGCTCCACCCCGCTCTGCCGGTCCTAGACCAGCTGGAGGGCCGCCGGGTCTTGGGCGAAGGGGGGGTGGGCGATGCGAGAGGGGCGGAGGGCCTCGATCAGCAATGCCGCACCCTTTTTCTCCGGATGGGCATCGTGATGGGCATCGTGATGGGCATCGTGATGGGCAGCCCCGACCCATGGATCCACTCCACACAATCCTGCGGGTGTGTGAATGAATAGACTGCACACAGACGAGACACATGTATGTCTTCCTGCTTGATTCTGTGTCACAGTCAGGTTGATCCCCCGTCCCTCAGCTCGCCTTGAGAGGCGGGGTCGGGAGGGAGTCGTCCTCAGGCATCGCGATCCCCATGAGGGCGTCTCGTTCGCTGGGAAAACCTCTCGGCAGGCTGCAAGGCACAAAGATGAATCAGATGAATTTTTGAATCTGTCTCGTTTCTGGAAAGGGGCAGATAGGAAATCCGATGTGAGCGTGAACATGAGACTGAGGGAGGCCATCACCCACCTCACCAACCTTCAGAGAAACGTCGAGAAAATGAGACGGGAACAAAAAGAATAAACCACCAGTTCATCTGCACACACAGACATGACAAGGGCAGGCATCTGAGCACACCCATGGCAACGAGATGCACCATGCCTTCATTCCTACGAATCATCCAGACACCACACCATCACACACCCATTGGCAAGAGACACACGAGGCCACACTCATATGGAGATCGGTATATGCGAGAAGAAGGCGCCTGCGCACTCAGCTGATGCCAGACAGTCGCCAGCCGCTCCTCAGAAAGCAGGGCGCCACCAGGCGAGGTCTCGCCCGGGGCGCGGCGGTGGAGGAAAAAAGTGGCCGATGGGATCCGGACGAGTCGGGAGGGGTAGATGGAGATGAGGCGGACAGCACAAGCCAACGACCAGCCGAAAAGAAAAAGAAATGGAGGATCTGTGGCCTGAGTAGAAGAGGTGAACGTGAGAGAAAATGTGAAGATGCAAGCTCGTACGCAAATCAGGGTTTGCGAGTCTGTCTCCGTCTCGTGGCGCGAAAATCTCGCCGCGCCTTTCTGCGGACGACGGGAGGCCACAGAAGGCAGACAGAAGCAGAGAGGATGGCCGCTGCCGCAGATGAGGTCAGATTGCGTGAAATCCGCTCACTTTGATGTCATCAAAGTGAGGAGAGTGCCCGCCCGCATCACCTTGCTGGTACTTATGTGTATGTGTGTGTACGTGTGTTTTCGTCAGCAGCAGCTGCCTGTGGAGCAGGGGGCTCACATCGACGAACCCACCTTCCGCAGTGACTTCGAGCTCTCCGCGGCGGGGGATGGGTTCAGTAGAGGTCATGGCTGCGGACAAGGCGGGCCGCTCCGGCAGCAGCAGCGCAACCAGCGACGAGCAAAGAACCACCTAGGGACGCGGGGGATGGAGGGGAGAGAGGGCCGATGGATGATGGCCCCAAATTCGCCCCCACTAGCCCCCCGTCTCGGATTTGAGACGCGAGAGGAACGCTGCTTTGAGCCATTCCTTGTCTGCCCCATCCTGATACAGCTGAATCATCTCTTCGTTCGAGAGACGCCTAGACGAACGATGCTGTCCAAGACGCTGAATTTCATCATGATGGCTGTCGGTATTGCACTGGTAATGTGCCTGTCGGTCAACCAACCTGCGCAAGCCCACCAGCAACGCATCAATGCCACCAACCTGGGTGGGTGCGTGTCGAAAAGGAGAAGGGCGGCAGAACCGCCCGTCTCCGTCACGGTGCGTGTGTGTCTCATGCAGCTTCAAAGTCTCTGTCGGCCGGTGTCCTGGGCCAGGTTAAGGCCCGTCCCTTCCTGCACCGCATGGCCACCTTGACAGCCTCCCGCAACGACACGGCACCTGCTACGGCAACCCTCCCTGAGGCTCCCTGGGAATACCAAACATGCAGCTACTTCGACACAATGAAGGAGTGCAAGGTGAGTCTACCGCAACCAACAACCAATGCACACATGCACTGATCTCTCCCATCCACACCAACCTCGTGGTTATGTGTACGTGTGTGTGTGTGTGTGTGTGTGTGTGTGTGGCAGCGCATATACCATTGTACGTGTTGGTGTGGCGAATACGGTGATTGTTGGCAGCCCCACGCGGAAATGAGAACAAACAAGTGTGTCGAGGGGGAGAAGAACGGCACGTGCTTCTACTCGATCGTCGACAAGGAATGCATGTGCAGAATCTGACCAGTCAGTCCATCAGCTATCCGCCCCGCCCGCCTGAAACACAGGTGTGCCTCCATGTGCATGACAGGGGGCGGGCGAATCCATCCATAGAGGATACATGTGTGTCGGGGAGTAGCGGGGAAAGCAGCACAAGTGGACAGAGAACGACGGATGTCAGTCACAATCAATCAAGGTCCCTGCCTGAAGCCCTCCACCCGTCCAACACGCCTCATCCCCGCGTGTCACACTCATTCAAAGCTACACACAGACAGATATACAGGTGGGTAAAGGTACATGACATGAAACACGCCACGATCGCTCAGACAGACGCGGTCTGACACACTGACTGACTGACAGAAAGGCTCAAACCTACAAATCTGGGTAGTCAGTAGTCACGCCCGCATGGAAATGACTTGAATATGTTGGCGGCCCCGGAAGCCTATGCGTCATCCTCCCCCAAGTTTGCTTGCGGGAACCGACATCCGCTGTCTGTCGTAGTCGAGGGGGAGGGTTTTGGGGCATTGGACATCGCAAAGACGCCCTCCGAGAGACGTCCTTCACGCCACAAAGGCACGGCGTATCCGTCTTCGTGACCATCTCAGCAGCCAGTCTCTCGCCTCCCCACACTCATCATCCCCACTGACACTGTCTACAGCCTCCAGCCTATCCAGCAGGTCAGCCACACTCTTCTCATCCAACTTCCGCCAATCGGCACCACAACACAACCGAAACAGCTCACCAAGGCCAAGCACATCATCACAATGTCCCTCGCTCTCGCCCAATGGCGGCAAGAAGCCGTACTTGCCGAGACACTCAGCTTCCCCTCCTTCAACGCCGTAGTCGATGGTCAGCTGACAGGGCGGCTGCAGCGGCACCTCACCAGTGTAGATGAGCTGCACGGCGTCTTTGGCATCGTTGAGTTGGAAGTGACAGTTTGGCTTGTCGTTGTGGTTGGCGAGGTCTATCAACGGCACCACTGCCCTCAGCGGCTCTCGGTCTAGTGGCAGCCTCATGGTGCGGGTGGTGACGAGGCGGTGGGCGGCTCGGAACTCCTCCTCAGGAAACTCCACCTGCCAAACAGTGAGAAAGGCCAATCGATCGATGGTGCCTTCTGCCTCTCTTCCTCGCTGCCTCACCTGCGACCTCAGCTGCTGGGGAAGCGACTCAAACAGATCCTGCATCACGTGACCATGAAAATCCTCTTTTCATCGATTCCCATGCCCGTCTTCACCCACTCACCTGTATGTCCATGTAGAGCTCGGCTGTGTACACAGACTGCTCGTCGACCATCACCTCGAGCTCCTCAGACCCCGCCAGGCGAACCAGCTCCTCAGGCCAATCAACCTGAAGAAGAGCACACATCACGACTGGCCCATCGTCTCGAAATGCATTTCGTTTGTCCACGCACACTCCTGCATCTTACTTACCGGCAGTGTGGGCGGCTCGGGCAGCGACTCGAGCCAGGGAGCAAACATCGATGCCGGCCCCTTCCGCCTCTCGTACAGCAGAGCAATGGCCATACTGAATGCAGAACAGCCACACACACATGGGCGTAGCAAAAGACAGACGAGGAAACCATCTCTCCACCAGCCTTACCGACTGTGCCAAGGCATGGCTTTCAGCTTCTCTGAGCTCGTCTCGACCACGGCAGCAGCTAGGGGCGTCTCGAGAAACATCGACTCATCAGAGCTAACGCAGCACGTCAGCGGGACCTCTGCAATGACCCGTTGGCCTTCGATTGGTCGCATGGCCATCAACCCTGAACAGAGGGCACAACAATGGCACAAACACACACAGCGGTCAAAGGCATGGCTTCAGTGCACCTCGCAAGGACTTCCCGTCGTTGAGTGCCTCAGTGCGACACTCGACAGCATCGCCCACCCGCCCTCCATTCGCACATATCCAATCGATCAGCGCCGGCTGCCATGCCGGCCCGTCATCACAGAGGATGCTCGCCTTCGTCGGCCCCTTCTCGCCTCGCGATGAGTCTTGAAGCTGCCCTCGGATCAAGCTGCGATGCTTGCCACGTGCTCTTGCCGCAGTCCTGGGTAGCAAATAGGCTTCGGCAAAGCCGCTGATGCGCCCATAGCTGCGCTGATCTTCCATGCCGCTGCCTCTCCGCCTGAGCAACAGGTGAGCTCCGGGTGCAGAAGTTATGAATAAAACCGACAGGATGCATCTCATGGTTGACCAATGCATGCATTGCTGCTCAGATCTGCCTTCAGTTCATGGAACGATCGGGTGCGAGCTCAGAATTGCGGGGTTGGTTGGTTGGGGGGAAGGGAGTCAACTTGAAGTTTATTTGCATTCAAAGGCGTGAGCATGACGGTGCAGTGGCAGTATTCGTACGACGGAGGACCGACATGGCATCCTTTCGGGTCAGTCAGAGATGAGCATTGCATGGGCCGCGCTCCCAGCAACACACACGACACCGTGACGCAGCTCCTGATCATCCACCGAGACCATCATCTTGCTCTCTTCACTGCTGTGTGCGGTGTGTTTTTCTCAGCGATTTGGAGTCGACCATCATCGAGTCGGCTGAGCAGGAGGAGCAGGGCCACGCGGACTTCGAGCTCCATGGAGTCGATATGCGCATGCACTGGCCAGAGCGCATTGCAGTGGGTAAGCAGAGGACAACTCTGACCATGCGTTTGATCTGTGACGCTGTGTGTGTTCGTTCAGGCTACGATGGTGCGAAGGAGCCGTCGCGAAAGCAGCGCTTTTGGCTGCTGTCGTGCAGGAGAATCATGCTGCCCCTAGATTACGACGTGCCGCATCCTGGCAACGCCGAGAGGTGCGAAAGAGGAAAGAGACGAACAGACGGCATCAGGATATGCGTGTGCGTGTATTGTGCTGCTCCAGTGCTGGTGGTGGTGGCGGTGGCAGCGCTGGTAACGCCCTCGACGAGGAGTGGTACGACGCCTCGAATGACGTGATCCCTTCCCAGCCACCACCAGATACACCCCCACCAGCGGCAGCGGTAGCAGCAGCGGCCAATGAGGTAACTCCTCAAGTGGACCTGAGGCAGCCGATGCCTTCAGTAAGCCAACGCCACTCAATGGTGCCATTTTTGTGGGCTCAATGTCCTTTTGCTGCGGTTCAGGGTGATGAGGGTATGAGTGTGACGCATGTGGTGATTGACGCTGCGGACGTGGCGTACAACTACGCGCAGAACGTCAGGCAGCGAGATGCTGCATTCGGGGACAAGCTGCTGCTGATCGGCGTTCTGAGGGCCATCGATGTCATGCGGCGGCGGGGATTGACTCCCATCGTACGACGACCGACACACGCACAAAGCACACGCGGCTGCCCAATATGCAAGTGGATCAAAAACGTGTGCAGGTCTTCTTCCCCCACTGGTTGTACAACGACACGCGCGCATGTGAGGATCTCTGCCCCACCGCCCATGAGGAAAACATGGAAGTACTGCAGGTACGTGAGCAAACCATGCGTCGGACCCGTGTGATGTGATGCCTGTCTGTCTGAGTAAATGTGGGTGTGTGTCTTGTGTGTCAGAAAGTGACCGAGATGCACCTGAGCGAAGAGGTGCATGTTCACGTGGCGCCCGAGCAGTCGACGTACCACCCCACCATCAGCATCGGCCGAACGAGGATGAAAGGATCCGGTGAAATGCGCACCGCACCCACACACGCGCGCCCACTCACGCACACATGTGTGTGTATGCGTGTTTAAACGATTGTTCAGACATCGAACTGATGATGGAGCTCGCCAAGGGGCACCGTGCCTTTCTCTGCTGCAATGACGTCGATCACATCGGCTTCTATCAGGGCGGCATGCAGGAGTACATCGACGAGCACATCGTCAAGTACACCATCGATGTCGACAACGACATGCAGTTCGTGCCGACCTTCCCCTCCTGATGAGCAGCCGGGAGCGTGACAGCTGGCTGGTGTCTGCAGCCGCGATGTGTGATCGTGGTGCACCTCTCTTTGGTGGGTCGGGCCTGTCTATCTGTCTGTATGCAAGCATACGTCAGTGCTGGTGTGACGGTTGAATGTGTGCATGTCTTCTCTCTCCCCTCTCATGCCATGCCGACACCCAACAGAGCTAAACTTCTGTACATGTGCGTGCGGGAGTCTCTGTTGAGCTCTTGGGCGAAAGGGCTGGTGGTGCACTCATGGACCCGTGATGAGACTTCTACGACACAATCAATGCTGCGTACATTCAGATGTGACGAAACCCATTCTGCCGACGCACACCTGCCTTCAATGAGGCTCCATTGCATTGTACTCATGCCCATGCCCGAGTCCGCCATTCACTCGCTCACCCACTCACTCACTTGCCCTCACTGACCCCCCACGTGTCGTCCTCATCCTCGTCTGTGTCATCCCCGTAGTCGTCCTTCTTGTCGTTGTCGTACAGGCTCTTCAGGAAGTCGCGGGTCTCTCGTGCCTCCGCCTCACCACCCTTGGGCCGTGCACCAGCGCCGGTGAGGGGGGGCAATGTGCCTGCCGGCCTGCCTCCGAGGGGCGGCAGTGGCTCTCTCTTGGGTGCCGGTGCGGGGGCTGGTGGCGTGTAGAGGTCATCGATCGGCATATCGATGTCAGAATCATCATCTTCCTCTGCCGCGGCTGCTGCTGGTGAAGCCTTCGTCTTCGCCTTGGGCTCGGCTGCTTTGGGGATGGTTGGGGAGGGAATGTCGTCCTTCCTCATGGACATGAAGACATCCGGCCGCTCATCGTCGTCAAGGTCGATGTCATCTTTGTGCGAAGGGGCCTTCTCGTCGTGTGTCTGCGACACAGGAGGGGGCGGCTCAAACGGCTTCGGCTTGGGTGGGGGAGCCTGTGTCTCCTCTTGTGTCTCCTTCTTGGTCTGCGGCTCCCTCACTGCCGCCGCGGGCGAGTCGTCCCAGCTGCTCTCGCTGGCCTTCTCTTTGTCTTTGTTGTCAGCCTGCTCCGACTGACGAATGAGGTCAAGCACGTCCTCAAGGCCGCTCTCCTTTGACCGGTGAGACACCATGTCGTGATCTTCGTGGTGAGGGGCTGGAGGGGTCTCTTCCTTTGCCGCTGCCTCAAATGATGGTGTGGGCGGCAGGGCTTCTTCCTTGTTTGCTGCTGGTGCTGCTGGTGCTGGTGCTGGTGCGATGAGGTCTTCATGCAGCACAGGTGGGGGTGCTTTCTTCTCTTCCTTGACCTTTTCCTCTCTCTCCTTCTCGCTCTCCTCCTTGATCGTCGTGGGAACCTTTTCCCCTTCCTGCTGTGTCTTTCCCGCCATCGGTTTGGGTTTGGCCATGATGTGCCTGCCGCTTTTGCTTTTGCCGTCAGGAATGATGAAGTCGAAATCGCTGGAAGCGGAGGGGAAGACGCGCGGCGGCAGGCGCACCACCGTCATGCCGTCCCCGCCAACGGCTGGCGGCGGCTGTGGGGGTGAAGCCCTTGGTGTGGCCTTCACAAGCTTCTCGAGTAGGTCTGTCTGGTGGTCGAAGCGGTGCTGCAAATCAAAAAGGGTCGAGTTGAGTCGGGCGATGTGGTTCTCGTAGATGAGGAACGGGTCGCGCTCGCGGGCGCAGTAGATGGGGGACAAGGGGCATGGGGCAGGCGAGCGTGACGGAGAGAGGGATACAGGCGACCGTCCTCGAGCTTCTGGCTCCTTGTCTTCGCTGAAGAGGGCGTTCGCTCCGGCACCGGTTTTCGGCTGTCTCTCACTGGCCGCCTTGAGGAACGCTTCGGCAAACCTGGCCCACTGCTCGCTGTGCTGCGATTTCTGCCCACGCTCGCTGAGGCTGCCGTCAAGAGGCAGCGGGGGCGGCTCGGGGTATGTGAGCCCGGATGGTCCGGGCTGTCGCTGAAACAAGGCATAGAGGATGTTGTACATCTCTTCCCGCAAAGCCTGGTTCTGAGCTGCGATCTCGTGCGATAGCGCCGCGCGGAGCGAAGAGAGGTCAGCCGTCGACACTCCTCCACTGTCGGCGAGCTTCTCTTTCTCCATTTCATCGATCGACGCCTCACAGACAGCCAGCCGCGCCGTACAGCCTTCGATGGTGCGCTCGATGTCTCGGATGACTGGTGTGGTCTTGAGGCCCTTCTGTGTGTCGCTCAGCTGGTTCTTGAAGCTGTCCTCCTTCTCGCCCATCAGCCGGATCAGCTTTGCATGGTCCTCAGCCACCTCCAACAGCGCTTTCGATTGACGCTCCTGCACCTCAGAGACACATGAATGAGAAGAGACACAGACACAAACAGTGATATGTTCTTTCGCTACCTGCAAGTCTGCAGAGAGCTCCCGTTGCTTGGTCTCGAGTGCGTCCACCTTCTTGTACAAGAGATCCGTCAATTCGTCTACAATCTTCTTGATCTTGCCGTCGACGGCCGCCGTGAGAGACCGCACGTCGTCACGGACTGTGTGGATGTCAGAGGCTTGGCGCGCGCATTTCTCATTGAGGGATGAGAGGCGCAGGTCGAGGTCGGTGATTTGCTGTCGCACGAGAGCTAGCTGGTCATCCATCTTGCGGCCCTTTCCATCCATGGTGTCCTTCAACAGCTTCAGCACGCCAACCAGCTCACCTGCATCACGCACAGAGACATCGTGCACCCCATCCATCCCGTGCGTGGGTTGCTTGTTGTCTCTGTGTCTTCACTTTTGAGGTTCTCTAGTTTCTCCGTCATATTGTCCTCCATTCGGTGCATTTGCTTTTCCTGCTCCAGCTGGGTCGTCTCCAGCCGCCCCAACAGTTCCTGTCTCACCTCGGCGTAGTTTTGATTCATGTCTTGCAGATGAGAGGCCAGCTCAGCGTACTGGTGTTGCAGGGCAACGGCATTGGCCGCGACAGTGACGAGATCTACGCTTCCCGTCTCCCCCGAGGCTCCCTGACCAGACACTGTCGCTGGATGAGGCATACGAGGCGTCGGTCCACCTTCACTGCCGTCCCTCGCCGTCAAGAAAGCATGTTGTCCAGCGGAGCCCTTCGCCTGCTCGTCTTGATGCGCGTGCGGGGGAGGGGAGGGCGGCGAGCGTGCTGTCTGATAGTGGCGACTGCTGACGGGCGAGACAAAAAAGGGTCGCCCTCCTCTCAGCTCTGTCAGCAGAAGCCGTGAATCGCCACCCAGAGGGATCACGGGAGGGTCCATCGGCTGGCTGACGAAGCGGATATTAGACTCTGCCGAGCGGATGATGGCATCAAAGGTCTCCGGCTCTGAAGGGGCTGCGGCGCTCGTTGGGAGGCGCGGAACACCGCTTCCAAACACCTGATTGGCGATGGAGGGACAGCTGCCGTACATACGTGGCGGAAAGAAGAGCTGGCTGATGGGAGGCCGGACGAGTACGTACACGTTTCAACCCACACACCGCATGCATGCGCCCCCAGTCTCAGTCACGACTGCTCGAATTCTCGCTGCTTTTCTACATCCACAGGATCGCATCACACGTTTACTCATGAAAAAGCAGCTACGGACGAAAGACGAGAAAGACATAAGTACAGAAAAGGACCACACGCGACCAGGGACACGCACGGCAACTGTGCTCTGCGTATCTTGACCGCTATGCCAGCACAGTGAAGACGTCGGGCGGCACGTTCACACCGAAACGCCTGCACGCCCGCTGCAGACAAGTAGACAAAGATCACGCACATCTTTTGCTGGCTGATGTGTCATCACTCACTCACCGAGTGTTCCCGCTGGACAAATGTCTGGTGCCCGTCCTGGGTCTCATACCACATTATGGCATCGGCAAGGTCGCCTTTCTTCAGCAGTGGCTCCGCCTCCCACGAGCCTGCACACAGGACAACAGTCGGATGAAGATGCGTCACCGCTTTCAAGCACACGAGGAGATACCTGGGAAGTGGCCCGTCCAAGTTGGCCCGCTCTTACTGCAGCGAAAACAGACACATGGAAATGGTGTATGCATGTGTCGTACACTGCTCTCCCTGCCCCTCCCTCTTGCTGCTCACACGATGAACACATCTCCATGGATGGGTCTGGCCAAGTTCCGATGGGTGGTACGAGAGGCCACCTGATTCACAGGTCCGGAGCGATTCGTCGGGTCGGCAAGGCCATAGTGGTACCTGCAAGTGCAGTGCATCCACATTCTGCTCTGAGAGCTATTCCATATGCCAGGCATAGTGTTACCAGTTATCGCCCTGGGGGGGATAGAATTTGAGTGTCTCTTGAATGTCACATAGACCAAACATTCTCTTGATGCGTGCGTTCTCCTCGTGCTCTGACAGGCCCTCTGGCAAATCAAACGGCTCCATCAGCTGCAGCAACTCCTCTTTGGTGCGATATGCGCCTGCCCTGAGTGATGAAGCAAGGAGGGAAGTCAATGAGTCACACATACTATGTCACACAATGTCACACGTACCGCAGACGCCACCACTTGCTTCTAAGGTTCACGTCCTGCTGTCGCTTCTGTGGCTTCTGCTGCGGCTGCTTCGTCCCTTCCTGCTGTTTCTTGGGCGGGTGAGTCTTGAGATACTCCTCTTGAAGCGCAGCGCAGAGCTTTTTGTGTTCCGGCCACGCCTGACGCTGACGGGCGACACAAATGGGGACAATGAGAAGGGCTGTATGTGCCGTATATGAGGCGCTTACTTGACAGTCTTTGCCACAGAAATAAATGGAGTTGCACTTGGAACACCATTGCTTCGCGGGGCAGCCGCAGGTCGCACACACACCGACGACTGGCTTGGACGCCATCTAGAGGGGAGGTTGGTTGGTTAGTGTGTTTAACGAGACTCGTGTCTGTAACCCCGAGGGGATCCTGGGAGGAGGGAGAGAGGAAGGAAAGGAAAGGGAAGGGAAGGAAGGAAAGGGAAACTTGACTAATTCGGATGTGCGAGCTTAAGACTGAACCCTGCACTCAAACCCTGCATGAGGTTCACAAATTGCTTACACGAGAAACATCACACTGTTTCTCTGTTTTCTGCGACGCAAGATCCAAATAAAGACGGAATGAAATCGTCTGGAGGTACTGACAATGGTTGTGATCGGTTTGTGACTCAGTGCGTTTCATGTCACAGACGACTGCGATGTCTCACTCTCGCACGACTGCATGTGCACGTCATGTCGTCGTGACCCATGCAGCCGTCGGTCACGGCGGGTAACGTTCTCGACGCACCAAGCCAGCAGTCAAACGCAAAAACGCCTGTCTCTTCATGACCGTCTGTCTGTCGGCCTCCGTGTTGATCAGGCAGTCGTATCGACTTCCTCCCTACTGGCATGAGTGGAAGACACGCGCAATACTGACATAGGCATGATACAAACTTCTTCTGCATGCACAAACGCCGGAAAAAGGCAGCGCAGGCGAAGACGTCTATCGATAAATGCACATATGATGTCATGCGCTGGATACGACACACGACGACATTGAAAGGGAAAAAGAGTACGTACGTACTGAGGGGGTCACGGGGAGAACTGCAGTATATCCCCATGTCTGTCTGTCTGTCTGTCTCTCTTATGAAGGGAACATCAAAATGCCCACAACGCGCAGCCGCAAAACCTTCAAAGAGTGACGCAACATGAAATCAATGAAATCTGAACCATACTAAGTCACCTACACATCATCTACACATGCACGGAGGATGCAAGACCTGACCACCGCGGTCACCTTTCCTCTCTGTCTGGAGCAGCACTGTGCTGCTGGTGGTGGTTCTGGTGGTGAGTGTCTTCCTCTTGTATCGGCGGCAAGCGCCGTTGCATTGTCGAGCCGCCACCAGCCCACGAATGAGACACACGCCTGCACGCACAGACAAGCAGACAGGCAGACAGGCAGATAGCCACATGTACACACACTTTTTGTCTGTCTGTCTGTCTGTCTGCCTGTGTGCGCAACATACCTTCTCTGCGTGACAACGGCCCCCCTCTGCCCCCATTGCGACGAGCCATTGCCGTTCCCACCACTCCCTTTGCTCCCCCCATCATCCTTCCCATGAGCGTCGTCGTCGTCGGCTCGCAGCTCAGATGGTGCCGACAGGGGGGGAGAGGACGGACGCACGATCCTCGTACGGGTGGTCAGGGGGGCGGTGTGGTCAGGCCTTGCCACGGGGCCGTCATCAGACTTGGTGGACGAGGGCACGGAATGGGCGTCCAAGGACGCATCGCTCCTGGGCCGCACTCGCCGCCTGAGGCCGTCTTCTGTCCCCGTGGTCGGTGGCGCCTCTCTTCTCATGTTGGACTTCATGCTCATTGGAGGGTGTGGCTCCGTCTCGTTGGCCCGGGGGCTGGCCCCACGAGGCAAGCTGGATAGCACTTGCTGCTTCAGCAGCTGGTACTCATCGTCAACACTTTCCGATTCCGCCTCCCATATGCTCTCCGCCTCCCTTTTCCCCTCTCCGTTGCTCGCCATCGCTTCACAGGGCGCTCTTGACGGCGGTGGTGGGCATGCAGGCCCGTCTGAGGACCACTCCATGGCTCGCCTCACCGCCATCTCGTAGGCAGGCCGATTGACGCTGACGCTGACGCTGCTCTCATCGTCGCCGTTGTAGCAGTCTCTCGCCGCGCAGTACTGAGGGGGGAAGGAAGACTTGTGCTGCGGGATGTGCGACTCGCAGAGGCCCGTGAAGGACGACCGACAAAGGTCGCCCGGGTGGTCGTCTGTGTTGTCGGTGGGTGGATCGGTGGGCGGCTGCTCGATGTATGGGGCGTCGCGGAGGGCGAAGAGCACCATAGCTGGGTCCAGCGGGTCCTGGACGGCCGAGCAGAAGACATACTGAGGCGGACGGGCGACGAACTTCTGCGGATGGATCTGCCATGGAGGGAACGCGCACACACAGAGAGATCACATGTGTCCGTGTCGGTCAGATGAGTGAGTGCCGCTGGCTGGCCGAGGTGACCTACAGTAATGAGGACGTCCTTGCATGATCCCCTCTGCATGATCGTCTGAAGCACGTCCACGGGCAGGATCGTCTCCACACGACAGCCCTGAAATCATCATTATCACGAGACATTGCAATCGTCATCGGTGGTTGGTCGGTCCTTAGAGCATCGATTGCTGGTCTGTCTCACGTACCTCGAGGGACGCTCCGTAAAGGATATTCAGCCTTGGTGAGCTCTCCAATATCAACCTGGGAGCAGACAGAGGTGCAAAAGTCGGTTGCACGCTGCCGTGCCTCTGTCAGCCATTTCGTCTCGTCCTCACTTGGAGTCCATTACTTCGGCGACCCCCCAGCCGTCAAAGGAGGCATCCGCCAGCCACTGCAGCTTCTCGGCCCGAGAACCGGTCTCACTCTCACGTAAACGCTCTCTGTGGCGCGCGCACACACAAAAGCGATGGATGAGTGGGTGATATGTGATCCTGGTGTATGCTTACACAGTGATATCCATTACGAAACCCCATACTAAGTCAGGGACACCGTTGGCGAGCCGGCCTGCGACCTTCAGCCACTTGATCGCCCCGTCGGCCTGCTCGTACTGCACCTCCTGTTGGAAGGACTTCCCCCCCTCCAGCAAATCGCGCATGGCCGCCTCCATCTTTTCCCTCTCCGGCTCCTTAAGACTTTGCATCCACGCGGGATCGGTGGGCGAGCAGGTGGGCGAGAAGGACCCACTCACTCCAGAACTCGCCAGCCGCACAGGCGCCTTCCCACAGGCCTTGATGTCATCTGTGGTCAGACGATGGATGGCGAGGCCATTGCCATGGCTGTTGTCCTGCGATGATAAGTGGTGGCTGGTGGATGTGCTGTCGGTGCTGTGTGGGTCGGTGGTGTGAGCGCGGCTGTCCGATGACGAATAGCAAGATCCACCATCGGCATCTCCTGCTTGGGGCACAAGCGACTCGGGAGGGGGGGACGGCTGGTCTTGCTGCTGCTGCTGTTGGGGGACTGGCTGCTGGCAGCAGGTAGATTGGGTGCTGGAGGCCGGCTGGTGCTGCTGGGTGTGCAGCCCGCCGCATGTGCGGTGCTGGGTCTCTACTGCCTTCATTGTGCGAGTGTCCATTCCCCATATGGACAGGTCCATCTGCTGAGCGCACCCCTCCAGAAGAGAGGACAATTTGGCCATGGTCCGCTGCACCTCAGTGACGTCCCGCATCGCACAGATGAAGCGGCGGGATGATGACTGGGAGTCCGCCAGCTGCGCGGCCACATAGAGCTCGCAGGATAGGTAGGAGGGCTCTTCGTGGCCATCTCGCTGCCTCTTCAGGCGTAGGATGCAGCACCTCCACCTTCCACCGCCCTCCTCGGCACTGGATACCCGGCTGAAGACAGTCCGCGGGCCGGCACTGCAGGTGTCCTTGGTCAGCCGCTGCCCGAGGTGGGAGTTGAACGAGAAGGACGATGAAGCGCCGCTGACGCCTGGAGGTTGTGGGGTATTGCAGCTGGGGGATCGGCTCGTGTTGCTGAGAGTCTCGCTGGTCCCGTCATGCGTGCTATCGCTACCTGAAGGCAACCCGTGACACATACACGCATGGACGGAACCAACGTGCTGCGGTGTCTGTTGTGGACCAATGCACCTACCCACCTGTGTCCTCTTTGCAGTCTGCATTGCGGAAGCATCCCTCGTACAAGTGCCTGTCTTCCTCCAGAATGAGATCCACGAGCCTGGTGCCGATGTAGCTGCTGCTCTCGCCGTCAGTGGACCGCAACGGCCCCTCCTTCGTGACAAGCCCGTCTCTCTCGCCTGTCTTGGTGCCGCCCGCGCCGCCTGACGGCCCGAGGACGCTCTCGAAGTTAGGGGAGGCGTAGAGAATGTGGCCCTGATCGTCTACCTCGCAGACGAGGTCGTTTGTGACGTCTGAGAGCTGACGCTGAGATGGGCACAGATACAGAAAGCGGGAAGTCGGTCGCGTAAGCGTCGTGCGATATGCCAACCAAGTGGCTTTGGGAGCTCGACTGCTTTTCCCACACAATGCGCTGCAGCCGCTCGTGGTGAAACCAGGAGTAGAAGACGGCTGCAAAGACGCACGCATCGTCCTTTCGTATCCTTCACTCACTCACTCACTCACTCACTTGGGGCGAAGAGCAGACTAACTAGGGTCACGAGAGAGTAGCCGGCTGCGCCTCCCACGCCGTAGTCCGTCGTCGGAGACCCATGCAGCATCAGCAGGCCCAGCACCATGTGCAAAGCAGTCGCACACGTGAACAGAAAGATGCGCTCCAGAAAGAAGAGACCTGAGTGAGTGCACCACCAGAGCACCAGGGACCCACACACACGTACACACGTACGTGTGTGTCCCACCCACTCACTGCCCTATCATGTGTTTGTCATCATGCTCACCAGGAGCGGACAGCACGAGCAGCGACGTCGCGACAGGGAAGGACACGCCCATCGGTGTACTGAATGAGTACATGTTGACAAATCGCCGGACCAAATCGTTGGCTCCCACCACTTGGTTGAGAGCCGCAAAGACAACCATCAATAGCAGCACTCGGCGAATGATGCGCAAGCTGGCCGCGTCCTGCGTCTTCATGCACAAGGACACACTGCGGGCCACCCACCATTGAAAACAGCACCTCCCAGCGGAACACGCCAGCCACACGAGGTTGTGGATATCCCAAAACCGAAAAGCCGTCTGCGCAGCCTGCCTGAAGAAACCGATGGCGCAGGCCACCAGAGTGACCCAAAGGCATAATCGATAAAAGGCAAGCCCCTCAAACACCTGCAGACAGACAGTCACACAGGCACCAATCAGCGTTGAAGTTGCCCCTGTCGGCCTCATTGTTGCTTGCCCCTTCTGACTGACCTGCCACAGTACGAACTCCTCCTCCATCTTTTCATGCGGGAAGCGGAGGCCTGACTTGACTTCCCACGCCTTCACAGCCTCCACACAACGAGCCATCTCAAGATCTCTCTCGAACTGCTGACTCGCAGCCCCCCGGTGGGTGTTTTACACCCTCACCTCTCAACTTTGATGTGGCTTCCGTCTGCGACCGGTCTGCGAGCTTTACTGCAAGGGGTGGGGGCGTCTTCTGGGGGGGCACGCGAACTTCGACGTCGAATCTCGAGTGTGATGAGTACAAGGAGCGAACTATCAAGCAAACCCACGGACATGAAGGGCCGCAGAAGCGGCAGATAAGCGAAGGTGAGTACATGGGGCTCCGAGACGGAAGACAACTATTCCCCCTGTGTCACATGATCAGGTAGCGCACCATAGTGCAATGGAGACGGACTCTGATCATTCGAGTGACTGGGAGGACGTCTCTGACGTCAAGATCTCTTCGGCCGAGGAGGGGGAGGAGGACACGCGTGTCCTCATCGCTGTCAGCACCGGCAGCATCTCGGGGCCGTCTCAACACTACCTCACAGCCAAGGGAGCTGGTAGCAAGGCCGCGCGAAGGAGAAGGCATGAAATGGGCAAAAGCAGAAGCGTGCGCTTCCGGGAGTCGGCCGGGGGCAGCGCTGCCAGCCTTCAAAGCGACACGTCCAAGTCCCGCCCGCCCCAGCAGCTTTCCACAACACTCGAGGAGGAGGGGCAGGACACCTCCCCCACGCATACGGCTGTGACCGTCACGGAGCCAGTCACCGAGCCCTCTCCCTCACAACACCTGCCTGTCTCACCGGCTCGCGACACGGGCAGGCGCGTGTCGATGGCCGTCGATTTCTTCCAAGGGCTGATGGCCCAGCAAGCCGAGACGCAGACCAGGATCTCTCCCTCTCGCCGCACGTCGCTGGCGCCCCATCTGCTGGAAGAGTCTCCAACTGCAGGCGGCCTGGGCGCATCTCCAAGTGTGGTGAGGCGGACGTCTGTCATGCGAAGGGTGACTCCGAGCCAAGAGGGAGATAATGAGACGGCTGGCAGAGAGGACCAGCCCAGCGACGCCTTGTCCATGGCCCGTATGCGGGCGCGGCGGGTGTCGATGGCCGTGATGAGACGGATCAGTCAGGAAGGGGGCGAGACAGCAGCTGTGCCGACGACGGAGGAACCTGGAATTACGCCCCTTTCGGCTGCGAGGGCAAGGGCACGTCGGCTGTCTGTGGCTCCTCCGCCTGAAGGGGCCGATGGCTATGCAGGCCCTCAGCCATTCATCAGCATTGCCGCTCGCCGGATGTCCATCAAAACGCCACATGTTGAACCTGAGGGCCTGACTCTATCGGAGGCCTTTGGGGGTGTCATGCGCCGGTCACCGAGCAGAGGGTCGCGCAGACAGTCAAGGTTGCCCGGCCTAATGGAGATCACGACCACAGCGCCGATTGAGACGATCCCCGAGAGCACGGGGACCTCGCCGATGGCGGATGGGGCTGACCGTGGGAGGACTGTCTCGCGGGGTCCATCTCGTCTGCTGAGCCAGGTGTCCGATCAGCTGTCACCTGTGTCGCATCGCAGCGACCAGTCGGGTCAGGCCTCACCCACGTGGCAGGGAGGCCTGTCATATCAGGAGTCCCACTGCTCATTCCATTCGGAAGCTGGGCTCTTCGGCGATCACGGCCGGCGGCTCAGCCGGGTGTCTCCCTCGATGGCTGCATCCATGGCCAGGTTCGCCCAGACCACTGGCGGGCTGTCGGAGAGCACAAAGAAGAAACTGCACAAGAAGCTCCAGAGGCTCAGATCGGGCCTCAGCCACACCACAAAGAGGAGGTATGTGTCCATGTATCAGAGCGAGCTCACCGATCGGTCGGGTCTTCCTTTGTGCTGGCAGGCATGCGCTGCTGAAGGAGACCAACCTTGACTTCGAGAATAGGATGCTGCAGCTGGAGAAGGAAAACAAAGACCTCATCAAAGAGAATGACCTCCTCATCCAGGTACGCTGACTCACTTGCTCCACTTTCCTTTCGCTGATGCCTTTACTTGTGTTTCCAGGGTGCCCAGAAGCTGCAGCAGAAGATGGAGTCCCTCGTGGCGGAGAACGAGGAGATTTACGAGGAGCTCTTTGAGACAGAGCGGGAGAATGAGGTGCTGCGGGACGACCTTGTCGAAGTGGAAAAGGCGCTCGCCGAAACGGAGACCAAAGTTGGGACCCTGCAAGTCAACGTAAAAGCTCAGTCTTTGCGTCGACCACAGAACAATGTCACTGGCTCTTGTCTCTCTGCGCGGCCAGCAATCCGAGGCGGAGGACCAGATCACGAGTCTGAGCGGTCGTGTCCAGGAGCTTGAAGAGGAACTCTTCTCCAAAAATCGACCCAAGAGCGGACGTACACATGACTCACACACGCCGCTGGCTGGTCAGCATGTGGGTGAGCGGAGATGTCGTGTCTCCTGTCAGGCTCTTTGCGCGTTGCGAGCAGCGGTGGTTTCTCGCGTGCCGGCACGAGCAGCGATGAGATGAGGCGGATCGATTACGAGGACCTTTTTGGTAGGAAGGCGGCTTGAGTGAGACACGATTCGTGCTGCCTGCACAGGTATGTTCCTTCGTGTGAATCATTCATCAGGCCACCAAGAGGAGCAGCTGCTGTCACGGCTGGACGAAAAGGAGCTGACCGTCAATAGGCTGAAAACCAACTATGACAAGGCAGGAAAATCGGTCGATTGGCAGGAGGCTTGAGTGGGTGTGAATACGTGTGTTTTGCTTACGTCAGGTGAAGCGGCTGAATCAGGTCAATGCCTTCATGAGAATTGTCGAGCGGTTCAGGGCACGGAGGGCAAACAAGAAACTGCGTAAGTCAGTCAACGCGGCAGATCGAAGTTCACTGAACATACAAGATTGTGTCTGTGTTCAGACGAGCTCACGATGGCGCAGGATGACGCAAAATCTGCCCTCAGTGACACACGCAATCTCTGGGTCGGGCATGATTCGCCACAAGTAGAAAGGAAAGACGGGCAGCCACCATATCTCGTCTTGTCTCTGCAGGAGCACTCGGAGCAGCGCCGCAAACAGATAGAAGAAGAGGTGCAACAGAAACTTTCATTTCTCAATCTGCGTGACTGTCTTCGATCCTGTGTGTGTGTGTTAGCTCGAGCAGCTACGGTTAAGACAGGGCGGTGGGTACGACTCATCGCTCGAAGCGCAGCTCCAGTTTGCAACACTAGACGAACTCAACAGATTACGAGATGAACTTGAAAGGTGAAGGCCATCCTCTGTACGGGACGCATCAAGTACATGAGATATTGACTTGCGTCATCAGGCTGCGCGGCATTGTTGAGGTCAAGGAGCAGAAGATCCAGGAGTTTATTCGCCGAGAATCTAAGCGAGTCAGCATGGCTGACTTCAACCAGGCGGTAATGGACCGAGACGAGCTCGAGCGGCTTTACATGGCAAAGGAGGACGCCCTCTCTGAGGCCGACAGACAAATAGAGGCGTGGTCCCGGGCCTTGACGGAGAAGGATGGCACCTTGCAAACCCTGATCGACAAGTAAGTAGGCAGAGAATGGACCGTGGTAGACGCTCGTTTTGAGTCGGGTGTGTGCCTCTGCAGAGCTGATAACCTGGAAAGGCTGAACAAGGCCAAAACGCATCGCGGGAGATTCCTCGAAGTGCTGCGCCGGTACTGGCGCAACATGTGCCGCGACCTAACTGAGGAGAATCGCCGACTGAATGCCGCCGCCTACGCCCGAGCCTTTGTCCAGTCAGCTGCCATCCGCTCGATCTTCCAGGAGCTCGCCAAGAGACACGGCGAAGACCATTTCGCGGAGATAAAAAACATGCTGCAGAGCGTCAAGCCAGCTGAAAGACAGGACACAGACGACAAAAAGCCTCCGACCTTCGAGGATGCGCTGGCAGCTCTCTTCGGTATCTCGGAAGAGCTGAGGGCGGCGGAGGAGAAGGAGCTGGAGAGAAATGTCATGGTGGTGATGGACAACCCTACTGACAACCCCACAAACTCTTCGCTTCCAGTTGATCACGAAGAAGACCCAGAGCTGCGGCGACTTCGCCAAGAGATGGAGACACGCACAAAGGGCCTCTTCAAAGCGATCGAGAACATCTGGGGTGTCGGCGAGGCCAACCAGCACCTCGAAAACCAGATCCAGCATCTGAAAGACGACATCCTGACGCACAAAGGCAAGGAGCAGCGCCTTCTGGAGGAGCTGCAGAGAGCGGTCGACCTATTGGGCCACAAGCGGCTCGAGCAGGCTGCTGAGAGGAAAATGGTCCAGGAACTGCGAGACAACATCGAAACCCTCGTCAAAGAGATCGAGAAGATGAAAGGAGACGCCGAGACCATCCAAGCCTTCGCAGCCACGGCAAGCAAGCAGGCGAGAGATGCCCATGCCGCCTTGGCCCTCCTGCAGGAGACCTCGGATCAGCAAGGCAGAGACACGGCCATCTTTGCGGCAAAACTGACGCTGGCGAAGCTGTATGCCATTGCTGAATCTCAGCGTCTGGAGACGATCCTTGAGAGGGAGAAATCCAAAGAGCCTGAGGTGGACCCCGAGGAGCATCGCCGATTGCAGAAAGACCTTGATAACAACAGGATCAAGGCAGAGGCAGCCCGCGTGGTCGCGAGCGCTGTCCAGCACGGCTTGTTGAAGGCGAACACCTTCCTCATGCGACGCCAAGCTGCGCAAGTCGTCGAGCTCAACGTGGAGAATGAGCAGCTAAACAAGTACATCGCAGATTTGCAGCGAGACAGCGCCATCATGGAATCGACCCTCCTCGACGCACAGGAAGCCCTCAGCATCCTCCGACACAACCTCTACGCTCAGCAGCAAGACTACCTGAAACAGCTCGATGACGCAAAGAGGCGGATGGAGGCCAGCAAGGCCGTGAGTGCCGCTGTGAGCCGCGCACTGACGCAGAAACTTGAGGAGGCTGAGCTGGGAAGCATCTATGGAGGCAACTCGGGCGACTGGGAAGGTGGCGCGGCAACACCAGTGTCGGCGCGCTCGGTGCGATCGCTGCCTGACGGCACATTCCGAAACGCCAAAGAAGAAGTCCAGAGGCTCCGGGCGGAGGTGACTCGATGCGAAGAACAGCTTGAAGAGGCCAATGAAAGCATCGCCGCATTGAAGAGTGAGATGGAGACGCAGAATACCCGCTGGATCACTGAGACGACGGCTATCCGCACGGTCGGGCAGCTTGTGAGGCATGTGATGCAGCGACAATTCGATGAAGAGAAGCGGGCGCTCATCGACAGACTCCGGACACAAGAGGCTTCCGCTCGCAGCTTTGAAGCAGAGGCCAAGAAGACTATCGAGGGTCTGGAGCACCAGCGGCAGGAGGCAGCCAGGGATCATAAGAAGGTGCTGGCGCGTACAAAAGAGCTCGAGACTGCCCTTGAGAAGGAGTCCGCCGCCCTCAGCACCGCTATCGAGGAGATGGAGAGGTTGCGAACAAGCGAGGAGGCATTGACAGAGTCAAATGAGCAGATGACGAGCGAGATATCTGACCTCAAGCAGAAGCTGGCCGAGGGCAGCGCAGCGCTCGCGTCGGCCGATGAGGAGTACAACCGTCGCCTCGAGGAGGGAGCGGCGGCACTCACCGAGGCACGAGACAAGATAGAGAGGCTAGAGAAAGAAAAGGCGGAGGCGGATGTCACGCTGGATGGGCTCGAAAGGGAAAGGGCTGAGGTCGGGGCCATGGTGGACAGACTCGAGAGAGAGAAAGCTGAGGTGGATGAGACGCTGACGGAAACCCGTGAGAAACTGGCAGAGGCTCTCGATGAGCAGGAAAGGACCAAGCAAGCGCTAGAATTGGCAACCGCCGCTGTCAAGAGTCTCGAAGAGGTGCGCAGATGTACGCATCCGTCCAATTGCATCCGTTTGTGTGTCTGTACTTGCAGCGTTCCACCACGGGCGAGGGCAGCCTCTCCAAAGCGCTGCAGGACCTGCAGGCCTCACGGGAGGAAAACAATCGGCTGGAGAGGGAGCAGAAGTCCCTCAAAGACGAGATCGCCGCGCTTACCGAGAAAGGGCTGGAGGACGCCTCTGCGCTGGCCTCTGTGCGTGACCAGCTGGAGAGCCTCAACAAGATCAAGGAGGCCCTTGAGAAACGCGAGGGAGACACGGAGCGATCAGTGCAAACGCTCACAGAGAAGCTGGAAACGGTGGTTGCAGAGCTGGAGGAAGAGTCAAAGGAGTTAGCTACCGCTCAGGGACGGATCGCAACGCTGGAGACCCAGTTGAAGGAAAGCTCCCAGCAGGCCTCCGCGAGTCTCGCTGCCTTGCAAGAGGAGCTGCGAGAGAAGACCACAGCACTTGAGGAGGCCAAGAAGACTATCGAGGGTCTAGAGCACCAGCGACAGGAGGCTGCAAAGAGTCATGATGAGGTGCTGGCGCGTGCTAAAGAGCTCGAAAGTGCCCTTGAGAAAGAGTCCGCCGCCCAGGCCGCCGCCGTGGAGGAGATGGAGAAGCTCAGGGCCAGCGAGGCTGCACTGAAGGAGTCCAGCCAGGGCATGTCCGAGACGATATCTGACCTCAAGCAGAAGCTGACCGAGGGCAGCGCAGCGCTCGCGTCGGCCGATGAGGAGTACAACCGTCGCCTCGAGGAGGGAACGGCGGCACTCACCGAGGCACGAGACAAGATAGAGCGACTCGAGAAAGAAAAAGCAGAAGCGGAGGCTACAGTGGAGGACCTGAATGAGACTCTTGCCAAGGGAACCACGGCGCTCAATGAAGCGCGGCAGCGCATCGAGCACCTGGAACATGAGGTGGCCCAGCTCAACAGCAGATTGGAGGCTACCAAGGACGAGACACAAGCCGAGGTCGAGAAATTGCGGACAGAGAACACCAAGGCAGTCAGCGAAGAAGAGCGCCTCGAGAAAGAGCTCCAGATTGCCCAGGAAGCAGCAGAGTCGGGCCAGCGATACCTCGAGGAGCTACAGAAAGAGAAAGACGATCTTGAGGAACAATCAGGACGGCTTGCGCAAGAGCTTCGACGAGGATCGATTGCCCTCACGGAGGCGACTCAGAGAGCGGAAAAGGCCGAAGAGGAGTGCGTCGCGCTCGAGTCGACCCAGCAAGAGATTCTTGAGAAAGTAACGCGACTAGAGGCGCTGCTGGCAAGGGAGACATCGGCTCTCGCGGCCAAGACAGACGACCTCACCGAGGCTCAGCGTGAGGCGGGGTTCTGGAAGGAGCGTCAGCACGAGGCCATGGCCAAGACGGCAACACTGTCGGAAGAAGCAGAGAAGGCAAAGGCTGACCTGGCCGCCGCCCAGCGTGAGCTCAAGCGCCTGAGGGACGACAGCGACACCCAGGCTGCCAAACGAAACAGCTTGGCCCAGTCGGTGTCGACCCTCAGCGAGAACCTCCGCAAGCAGGCCGACGAGGTGCTGGCGGCCAAGAAGGCAATGCAAGAGGCCAACGAAGCCAAGCTGGACGCGGAGAGGGAGAAGGAGCGAGCAGTGGCGTCCCTCACCGCCACCATGCACAAGCAGAAAGCATGTCTTGACGAAGAACGCGACAAAATCAGGCGCTTGGAGTCCGCCAATCATCGCCTCGAGGCACAGAGCGCCGAGATTCCTCGTCTGGAGCAGCAATATCAAGACTCCGCCAACCGGCTGACGACCCTCTCTGAGCAGCTGGGCAGCGAACGAAAAGCCGCAGAAGCCGCAAGAAAGGCGAAGGACGACCTGCAGCGCGATCGCAACCAGCTGGCCGAGAGGCTGGAGCACGAGACAAGTGCACTGGAGTCGGCTCGGGCTAAGCTTGACCAAATGAGGCGAGAGAAGGCTGAAGTGGAGGCCAAGGACATCGAGACATCATCCAAGATGGCCAGCCTCAAGGCACAGCTGGAGGGAGAGACGGCCGCACTGGAGGAAGCAAGAGAGGAGGCACGTGCGGCCAAGGAAAGACAAGAAGAGCTTCTCAGTCAGGACGCACAAAATGCCGTCACCCTTGCGGAGATGACAGAGAAGCTCCACAAGCAGGCTGAGGGCGTCGCTGCGGCAGAAAGGGCTCTTCATCAGGCCGAAGAGGAGAGGGACCGCTTGGCCGGGCAGCACAAGGATGCCGCTGACACGATTGAGGAGCTCACCAAGGAGGTAAAGAGCGCCACTGAGGCTCTGCGCAAGGCCGAGGAGGGCATGGAGGCGATTGCTCATGAGAGGGATGTCTTGTCTGACAAGCTTGCACAGCTTGAGAAGGACAAAGGCACACCCGTCGGGGAGGCAGTCGCCATTCAAGGTGAAACAAATCTTCTACTGATACGATGAGCATGGAATTAAAATTGCATCTATTTGCTTGTTTCTCAAGATGGTGAGGTACGTCTGAGGGAAGTCCGCAGTGTGCTCAAGAACCACCGGAGCGCTCTCAGCGAGGCGCGGCGGGAAATGGAGGATGCTAAACAGGCAGGCGCCGAACTATTTGAGCGGATGAGCAAGGCGCTGGATTGCCTCGGCAGCCCTCAAGCAGCAATCTCGGACGACGAAGCTCAGCGCCTGAAACACGGCATCACTGAGGCTGATCGTCTGGCCGACATTCTCAGAAATCGGCTGCGTGGCCATGCCTCGGACCAGCAGCATCTGTCTCGGCTTCTGCAGGAGATGCAGACATCAGTGCTCAACCGTATGAAGACCAAAGGGCAGCAGACGATGGGCGGCAGCGAGCTGCAGGAGGTCACTGATCGGCTGAATGGGTGCCTGCGGGAGGCCCAGGAGTTGGTGGATCAGACGAACAAAGACCTGCATGGAGCCCTGCTGTGCGTCAACAAGCTGAAAGAGCAGACAGAGGGGAAAGGGCGGGGCTCAGAGGCAGCGGCCCTTCTGCCTGCGGCAGAGGCGCCTCCCGAGCGACAGCAGACGGACGCAAAAGTGCACAAGTATGCGTCAGCCGTCTCGGAGCTGGACGAGGCGCTTCGGCGGACCCTGAAGCAGAGGGAGCAGGTCAGGGCTGACCTCGACAAGATGAACTCGGAGTTTTCGTTCCTCAAAAGCGAAATATGCAAAGCAAGGTGAGCACCCTTTGAACGATACACGAAAGCGACATGCTCTGCCTTGATGTGCTGTTACAGGCGGTGTCAAGTGACCGTCCCACAACCATGTGAACGCGACTGGCAGTTGCAGAGACAGGGTCGCATGGAACGAGCACAGAAAGACCTCCGCCGAAACGTCCGAGAACAGGTAAGGAAACAGTCGCGAAGTGCAAGTGGGAGCGTCACATACAGTCTTTCCCATTCGTCTTATCAGTTTGATCAGGTCGAGTCGACATCGACCACTTTTCGGGGCCAGCCAGGCGAGCGAGACACGCGTCTGTACGGCAGCGGCACTCGCTGGCGCAACGACGCCAGGACAGAACAGAACATGTCGCCACCGAATCTGGCCGCCCCACCTCCCAGCGTGACGAACCCTGCGCCACATTGGGAGCCGCCGCCCTGTCGGCCTAAGTCCACCTGTGTGCCCCAGCCGCGTCGGTCTCACACGCCTCCGCCGCCTCCCCCTGCGCTAAGACTTGCTCGTCTGAGGGAGGGGGACGAACCGGAGGGCATTCGACGACACGCACGGGCGCTCGAGTGAGCTGCCGCCTTGATGTCGAGTCACTGGAGACACCGTCTTTGTCTTGTGTGTCTCTTTCAGGTCCTTGATGACACAGGAGGCCCGTCGGTTGGAGTCGTTCAACACGCTCAACGACCGTGTGGAGCAGATACACCAACGGTTGAGGTGTCATCGAGAGGCGCTGCAGAACATCACCACCCTCGACGAAGAAGATGATGACTGAGTGCCAGCAACACCCTGTTCCAGGCACTTACATTTGACATACAGTACCAAGGAATCGCAGAGGTTGTTGCTTGTATTTCTCTATTGCCTGTGCGAAAGGCCGTGAAAGTTCTGGTCATGCGATGTGTGTAGCTACTTGCACTCGGCTCCATCGATGTATATGTGTGGCGAAGGCGAGGCCCGAAGGGCCGAGCCGAGCAACGACTAGCCACTGATTGACTCAAATGCGGAGGGCACCGGCGATGTATGTATGTAGCTATAGGAGGCCTGTGTTGCTGCATGAAAGGGATGAGAGAGCCACTTGACAGATTTATGTGCATCGCATTCACCTGAAAAGATGATAGAATCCCTCTCCCTGGGTCGGTCGGTCGTTATGCGTTTGACGAGACGCGGGGGGGCACGACGCCCCAGTCTCAAGCTCGCCACCTCGAGTCGAGTGGCTACTTCGTCAGGTCAGAGCAGGCGTCTGCACGACGGTGAGCAGAGAAGGGAGATCTGTGCAGGAGGGAAGATCCAGTCAGTCAAAGTCAGTCAGTCAGTGAATGCTGTTCTGTGTGTATCTGAGGCAGGCAGAACGAGGAGATCCTCAAGGCAGGCAGAACGAGGAGATCCTCAGAGGCTAGATTTCCTCAGGGGCTACAGGTACCATCGCTCGTGTGTGTTCATGGTTCATCGACCTGGCGTTGTGTGTGTGCGTTTGCTGCTCAGGACGAGTCGCTGCTGTCAGCAACCGCTCAATGGTGCGCACATCCTTCGTGCGTCTGCGTGTGTCTGTCTGCTACTTCCACGCTGCCTTGCTTCCTTGTTGCCTGCAGACCTCAGCCGAGGTTCCATGCTTCCTGGATATCGTGGAACTCCTCGGCACGAATCGAGGAAACGAATCGCTGAGCTCGAAGCCCAGAGAGACCAATGGAAGCGACGCTGCCAACAGGTGTTGCCTGACGCACACAACACACACGTGGATTCCTTTCTGTGGCCACTGGATGGATGGATGGATGGATGGATGGTTGCATGCAGGTCGAAGCTCAACGCGACGCTGCCCTGAATGAGCTGGCACGGCAGAGAGCGAGAGCTGCCGTCAAACAGGAGGCAAAAGCCTACAGCAGCACGACGGTGACGCCTACTCCCCCAGGCATCATGATGCCTGAGGACCCCTGTGCCGACGACGGTGAGGGGAGCTGGGATGAGGATGACGATTACGATCAGGACGAGGACAACGACGACGACGAGCCCGTGCCACAACGAGGGGTGCCCACAGGTCCGCGGGTGCCCAAGTTGCTGGAGGTGGCCACAACGGGCGAGATGATAATAGAGGAGGGCGGCCGATATCGGCCGCCGCCCGGCAAGTCGCGACACGCCAAGGTGGAGGGATACCTGCGGACAAGGGATACGGGCGTGGAGGAGGTCACCATACAAGGGCTGAAGATCCGCAAGGACGACCTGCTGCGGCTCTCCGACGCTTCGACCATACCGCCCAAATTGGTGAGTGAGTGAGTTTGGTCGGTCGGTCGGTGGGTCGGTACATTTATGTACATGAATGAACGTCCCGTGCTCTGCTCGTGTTTCTGTATTGTATGTGCTGTGCATGTGTGGGTGCAGCGCTTTGAGTATGAAGACGGCATGACCCTGACGCTGGGTGACGGCGGGAGAGAAATGCTGAGGCGATGCATCCGCCTCAAAGGCCGCTCAGGTCGGTGCGTGGGTGGGCGGGCCAGCAATGCATTCCATGCGGTTGGTTGACAAGTGCCATGGGGCTGATGTTCTGTCTGTTGTGTCATGCAGGTGATGAGCAAGGGACGCGCGTTTGTGAGCTCAAAAATGAGGAGCTCCTCCGTCTGGCGTACCGATGGTTCGTCGATCGACTATTTTACATACCTGTTCCCCACTCTCTCTCTGTCGCCTCCTTCTTTGTCCACCAGCGGTTTGTGGGACCTGGTCCAGCGTCTCCATCTGGAGCACATGCGGCGCCTCCCTTTCAGTCCCGTCCACAAGCAGGTCCGCGACAGACTCTCGCGCCAGGCAGGCAGCAAGAAGATGGCCAAGGCCAAGGCGGCAGCATCGACACCAAGGGGAAAGCAGACAGGCGATCAGGTGCTCATGGCTCGAGACGCGCACCACTATCGCATGGCACAGATCTTCGCCGCACCTGTACATGGCGCCGATGTGCAAACGGAGGTACATAATAAGGGAGGCCGGCGACGGCCGGCTAGCGAGTGCCTTGGTGGCGTCATTGTGTGTTGGTTCTGTGATGCGCGGATACAGGGTGACGCAAGCGGTGCACACGGCTGTGGCGGTGCCGCTGCCACTGTGGGTGGTGCATCGTCCCTTAGCTCGTCTTGTCGCTTCATAGACGAGCTGGACGAGACGCTGATGATGGGATGTGTGGAGGAGGGAGGGCAATGACTGACTGACATGCAGCGGAGGCTGAAGCTGAATGGACGAGAAAGGAGGCTAGACGGGACTCTTTCTTTGCAGTTGGCCTGTTTTGGTTGTGTGTGCATGTAGACAGTATTTATCTGTTTGTCGGTCAGGGATCGAACAAGAGCTGTCAGTCACTGTCAGTCGGAGAGGATGTGATGTGCGCATGCAGTCAGTGGTCGAGGCGTTTGTGCAGCCCAGACTGACTGACTAATCCATCGATCGCTCCGTGTGCGTGCGTGTGACGGACGGACAAGTGAGACTACATGAATTGCTGATGAGACAGAGTAGACCACACCCTGTGTGCGGTGTACGTATGTGTCTGCCCGATGACATACATATTGAATCCATACGTGCAGATTCAATGAGCCGAACGAAGGTCACACAGACAAGACACACCCACCCCACCCCACTCCTACCCCCCATTCCTGGAGTGGATGGTATTTTTGCACTGCCTCCCTCCATCCCTCCCTCCCTCCCTCCCTCCATCCCTTCCTCCCTCCCTCCCTCCCTCCCTCCCTCCATCCATCCATCCATCCATCCATCCCTGCCTCCCTGCCTGCCTCGATGCAACCACACACAGCCAGCTGGATGAAACGATCGCTAGTGTGACAATAGGCCATGACGTGGCGCGACGCAAAACCAGTAGCAGCAGGCAAATACTCTGACAGATCCCAATCCGTCAGGCGTGCGAAGGGTGCGCTTCAATCCAGGACGCCGCACACAGCTCTCGCTCCAAGGTCGGTGTGCCGCTGCCGTCCACGATGTCTCCCTTGGGTCAGCTTCCAGTTGTGTGTATTCGTCTTGTCTGTCTGCTGGGCGGCGGGCGCCTCTTTTGACGTCTGGAGGTCCTGCTAGGTCCTGCAGCGCCTGACAGGACTTAGAGCACCCGGAGGACGTGATTCGCGTAGGCAAGGACGGCGACCATGATGACCGCAGAGACGAAGTATATGAGGTTTGTTTCTGCGGCATTCAGCTGTGCTTCTGAGGTGAGCTTCTGCACCTCTGCCTGCTCTGCCCACACAGACACACATACTCACGCCTCTATGACAGCTGTGCCTGGCATGTCTTTGGCACTGCTCTGTCTCGCACCCCTTTTCCTAGCTGTGCCCGATACAGGGGCGACAAACGCTGAGCTGATTCTTCTGTTGCGACCTTCACAAGCTCACGCCCTGCATGAGAAAAACATAAAAGATGACCAACTACCCGCTGGGACCAATTGATTGTACGTTTGTCATCGACGTTTATGATTTGCGCATCGCAGGAGTCTATGAGCTTCAACAGCCGCTTCTCTTTCTCAGTGTCGCTAAGTGATGGCAGCCTTCCTTCTGCTCGTGTGGCGGCCATCTCTTTATTCAACTGCGCCAGCTGTGCCTCATATAGATCTCGGTCTCTTGTTTTCTCTTCAACTCGCTGTCGAAGATAGGCGTCCATTCGAAGGTAACCATCCTACAGACACAGACAGAGACAGACAGACAGTGGGTATACGATATAGCAACACATAGCACTCACCCACCCACCCACCCACCCACACACACACAAAATGACACACCGCCCAATTCGCCTTCAGCTTTGCGTCCGTATATCGGTTGGCATCAGGGGCCAGATCAGGGGCCAGTTCCGCCTTCTCGTCAGGCAGCGCCCGTAGCTGCCGTTCGTCGCCCTGTAAAAACGGATGATACAAGAAATGGCGTGTGACACAGTGAAACTCTGACGTACTGTACACTCTCTCTGTGGTAAAGGGCAGAGAAGTCGGCAGAGAGGCGACGTTGCAGCTGCAGATGTCTCTGGTGCAGGAAACTGGCTGGATGCAGAACCAACCCAACGGGGAGCGTCCCGTGGAAGGCCGAGATGGCGCACTTCGCAGCCCACAGCAGAGAAAGGAATAGAGAAAGCAGCATCCCCTGAACACCAGACACGCCCCGGACAGGACCGCTGAACACATCAACCTCGAAGACTTGTGTGTCTTCTTGTGCAGTATCGACAGGATGGTTTTGCGCAGATCGGGGCTCACGATCAATAGGCCGACAGCACAGCGTGGCAGCAGGCTAACAGGGAGGCTCGGGGGATGAAGAAACTGCGACGAGGTCACGATCGTCATCAAGCTCGCGTCAGAAAGAGGGTTCGTTCGTTCGTTAACCTCACGGGGACCTTGCTGACGAACGAACGAATCTGTGTGACGTCGATAAAATCACAAGTCAGAAGAAGGAAGCATTGGATGCAAGGCAACCCACCGCTTTGAGGGAGAACTTCAAGGGGAAAGGACAGAACTGCTGCGGCCAATGCGAGGCGTCAAGGTAGATGACGGCAGAGCTGTCTTGAGAGAAGATCTGCCAGTACCCACCCCACAGGCAGACGAAGCCCTCCTTCGTGTGCTCAGGGCAGGCATCTGCAAGACGGTGAGCGCACGGGCGAAGATCCAGTCAGTCAGTCAGTCGGGCAGATGGAGCCGCTCATTGTCATGCATCGCATCATGATGCTTCTGTTCTGTGTATGCGTGTATCTGCCTGCCGTCCGTCATCCATTGTCATCAGGACGAGGAGATCCTCAAGGGCTATAAGGAGGGCTTCCACTGCATCCTCGGCCATGAGTTCGTCGGCCGGGTGGTCAGCGTGACGGCCGTCGACGGGCGGGATGACCCCTCTCACCCATACCTGTCCAGGCGAGTCGTCGCAGAGATCAACCTCCCCTGCGACCAGGACACCTGCCCCGCATGTCACCCCGAGACCCCCCCAGACCCAGTGCAGCGGAGAAACCACTGCCCCTCACGCACCTGCTTGGGCATTATCAACAGGGACGGCTGCTTTGCCGATTACGTCACAGTGCCGCTCGCCAATCTGCATCTCGTGCCTGATGAGGTGTCCGATGCGGCAGCGGCCTTCTGTGAGCCTCTTGCGGCGGCCTGCCGGCTGGTGGAGCAGGGGCGGCTGCGAAGAGAGGACCGCATGTTGGTGATCGGGGACGGGAAGCTGGGGCTGCTGTGTGCTGAGGTGTTGCAGCTGTTTGTCTTTGACGAGCGGTTCCATCAGGTGCTGCGGCAGCATCAGTCGGGATGGAACCTCACACAGGCCTTCCAGGGTGGGTATGTTTGTGTGCACATACGACACATTTGGATGGATGGATGGATGGATGGATGGATGGATCAGTGGAGTGGATTCCTCTCTTCTGTGTGTCCTTCATGCCATGTAGAGTTCTGGGCAAGTCAGAACGCTCCGACGCCTCTCCGGAAGTCCAAGACGATGCGCAACCGCTCGCCAGTCACCATCGTCGGCCGCCACCCGTCCAAGCTCGCCCTCCTCACCCACACCCACACCAGCCAGCAGCAGCAGCAGCAGCAGGCGTCTGATGCCGCTGATGTGTCGATTCACCCTCCCATCGACACCATGTGCGAGTGCCGGGACGGCGACAGATATCACGAGTGGCGTGAGAAGGAGGAGTCGGCCTATGACATTGTCGTAGAGGCCACGGGCAGCCCTAATGGCCTCAAGCTGGCCATGGACATGGTCAGTCAGTCAGTGACCGAGAGAGAAAGGGGTAGATGGGGCAACTGATGATGATCTCACGCGTGCCGCCGTTTCGTTTGTGTGTGGCCACCGTGTGCAGGTGCGTCCGCAGGGTGTGTTGTTTCTGAAGACGACCTGTGCGGTGGGTGTGGAGGACGAAGGGTTCAACATGGCACCTCTGGTCGTCAAGGAAGTCCAGCTGGTAGGGTAGGCACCACTCACACGCCGGCGCATCTCGACTGATTGATTCCTTCATGTCTGCTGGTGTGTGTCTGTCAGGTGGGCTCTCGGTGTGGTCCGATGGGCGTCGCTGTCGGCGTACTCGAAGCTGGTACACACGCATGCACACACACCGACGTGAGTGAGACGCGTGGGAATCGCTTCCCTCTCTCTGTTGGTGGTGCGTGTGCGCGTGTGCGTGTAGGTCTGATAGACGTGTGCAAGTATCTCGAGGCCGAGTACCCCCTGGATCGAGCCCTTGATGCCCTGCATTATGCGCAGCGTAAGGGCGTGCTCAAGGTGCAGATCGTGTGTGCAAACGAGGGGGAGGGGGAGCCTGAGGACCACCATGCTGCTGAGCACTAAGGGAGTAAGGGCGTGTCGTTCGTTGGGTGTAGAGGTGCTGCATATCATATGCACGTGTTGGTTAGTTAAAGAGACGTGAGAGAGCTCTGTTGTTTGCAACGATCTCTTTTCGAGCTGCCTTGGCCAGCTGATGGATGTGAAGAACACTGCTGCCACGTCGGACAACGGAGACGAGCGAGTCTGCCGTTGTCCCACGTGGCGGCATGGGCTCGTTCGCATGCATCTGCCCAAGCAGGCTCGTGAAATGTGGTTCTCATCGACAGCGAGTGGCCTGTGCTGTGCTATTCTTGGCTATGACGCCCTGCTCCTTTATTTATTGGTTGGTTACATGTCGACCGACATTGGCTGTGATGTGACAGAGACAAAGACGTGACGTGCCGTGTGACAGTTCATTGTCGAGTAACTGTATAGACACGTCCGTCTCTCCGTTCGTCGTCAAGATGCAGGCAGCATCCAGACGCTTGTGCATCACTGTACTATGGCCATCTACTCCATCCATCCATCCATCCATGGCGCACGCACTTACCGACCGACGCACGTACAACACCCACCCCTACATAAAGGTACAAATAGACGAGTGTGCAACACGAGTACACACACCAGACCAACAAACCACAAGGCAGAAAGACAGACAGACAGACAGACAGAGAGTCGGAGAGAGGAAGGTAGTGGGTGGGTGGGTGATGTACACACAGCACACACATCCAGGCAGCGCAACGGGTCAGTCAGTGGGTCGGTGGGGCATGGCATGAGGCGGTATGGAAAACGGGATGTCTCTCAGACCGATACCTACAGACGCCATCGAGGCAACAATGTATCCGTTCATCCATCCATCCATAAAGAGAAACCGTCTCCGAAAACTCGCTAGCTACCCACATACCCGGACTCGCTACCCACTGTCCCAGTGCCCTTGTCTCTCTTCGTCTTGAAAACCCCCAATCCACTTTGCCACCACCCTGCCGCTGACCTGCGTGTGTCTGCTTTCCTAATCGGCGTACGGCATCGTGCGTTTCGGGCAGCTGTTGCCATGCCCGAGCTGCGAGATGAAGTCCGCCATCGCAGAGAGCAGACACAGCACAAGCTCCGTTTATCTATCCATCAGCTGTCACTGGGTCGAGAAATAGAGAGAGAGAGAGATGAGCCAAGGCAGCTACCTAGCCACTGTACACACCCACCGCCACCACCGCAACCCCTTTTGTGAAAAGGAAGGAACCCACAACACAACACAACACAACACAGCAGCAGCAGCAAAGCAAAATGGGCCGCTCTCAAGTGTCCTCTTCTCTCGAGCGTCTGGCGATGGTCTTATAGATCACTCCCTTGTGCGTACGTCCTACCTACCCAGCCACTCATCGATCCATCAAACCCACCCACACAGCCCTGTGTGTCGCGCGCTACTGCTCTACGGCCTCTCTCCCTAGCCAGACAGACAGATAGATAGACAGACAGACAGACAGACTTGCAACGCACAGAAGGGCAAAGGGGTGTTTCGGCAAAAGGAGGGCGAGGCTCCCGGGGGAAGCGACGGGGAGCGAGACGGCGGGCTGCTACGTATACTCACTCTGTGTGTGGGGTGAGGGTGGGTGGGTCGGCGGGTTTGGTGGGTGGGTGGGTGTCGTGTCTATCTAAACGCCCGAGAGGGCAGAGATGCGGTGTTTGGCGTGTCCCGCCGGATCGATCGGTTCCGTAAATCGGCGGCCGATCTTCAGCGGCAGAGACCTCTCCGTGTCGTGCAACAACTGAATGAACCACACAGCCACACACGCAGGCAGGCACCCAGGCATTCTCTCTCTCTGTCTCTCGTCTGCGTGTGTGTCTGATCTGACCTGGTCGTCGATTTTGAACATGAATACTGAGGTGCGTTGCCGTTCGGCCTCGATCTCCCTCTCGACCTCCAGCTGCCGCTCGATGGGCGTACCGATGATCTCCTCGATCGTCAGACGCTTCTTGAGCCAACGCCAGTTGAAGATCTGATTGATACACACACATACATAACAAAGACACACTCACACGTGTGCACACGAACACCACACCCCCCATGTGTGTGTGTGTGTGTTGCCGTCGGTGAGTGACCTTGGCGACGACGAACGGCAGGTTGAGTATGAAGTAGAAGGCCAGGCCAGCGATGAGGCCGTAAGAGATGCTGCAGGTGAAGGTGATCATGCAGACCGTGATGAAGGCCGGCAGCGAGTGGTTGATCTTCTCCCAGGGAATCGCCATCACGGCTCCCATCATGAAGGAACCCACCAGCACCAACACCGGAGCAGTCGCAGACCGGGGCACCGCCGACAAGGCCGGCACGAAGAACATCGACAGCCCAAACAGGGCCCCCGCCAGCACCGCACCGAATCCCGTGCGCCCGCCCTGCTGCACCGCAGCTGCGCTCTCCAGGAAACTGACATCATCACATCACACGAGAGGCAAAGGGCAAGGGGCAATCCATGTTTTGGGGTGGGTAGTTGTGTGGGTTGGCTCGGGTAACATACATGATCATGGGCGAGGTGCCGCAGAAGGACGACATGCAGATGCCCGCACCCACAGTGATGAAAGCCCTCTGCGCGCCGAGGACGTCGCCATGCTCGTTGATGAGCTCTTTGCTCTGTGCGGCGATGCCCAGCACCACCCCGCCCACGTCGATGAAGGCCACCAGGAAGATGAAGAACACCGATATCCACCCCTTGCCCGTCTGCAGGACACTGTAGTCGAGCGTTGGCAGCTCAAGGTCCGGCGCGCCCACAAACGCCTTGGGGAGGGGGGCGAATCCCGCCGAGAGGGAGATGCCCACCGAGGCGATGATGCCGATCAGGATGGAGCCTGGCGCCTCGAGCAGCATGAGCAGCGAGATCAGGAGGATGGTGAAGAGGCCCATGAGCTGGTCCGTGGTGCCGATGTTGCTGCCCAGCTGCAGCACCGTGTAGGTGCCTGGCTCGATGAACCCGAGGGAGTACAGCCCGACGATGGTCTGGAACATGCCGATGCCCACCACGATCGCCTTCTTCATCGACAGAGGAATGTTGTTCACCAGGATGTTGGACAGTCCCGTCAGGCCGAGGAACAGGAAGATGCCCCCGGCGGCCATGCAGATGGCCAGTGCCTGTGACGCCGTGAAGTGCTCCTGCACCACCAGCTCGTATGCGAAGTAGGTGTTGAGGCCCATCCCGGGTGCGGTGCCGAAGGGGAGGTTGGCGAAGAGGCCCATGACGATGGACCCGACGCATGCGCAGAGTGCAGTGGACGATGCCACTGCCGTCTTGTCGAGCTTGGCGGCCGAGAGGATGTCGGGGTTGACCACTATGATGTAGCACATGGTCGTGAACAGCACCAAACCCGCACGGAACTCCGTCTTGAAGTCGGAACCTGCACACACAGGACACAGACACAGACACACACCCACATGCACGTCACGTGTCATGCATAGATCTGAGGCAAGACGCATGCTTCTTCCCTCCCGTGTGTATGTTTGGAAGCCAGGTGGCTCACCTCGTGCAGTGATGTGGAAGAACCGGTCGATTCTGTCTGCGAATGTGCGCGGCGGCGGCGAGAGGTCGTGCGGCTGGTCGCCGCCCTGCAGGACGGCATAGCTGCCCACCTGGTCCTGCACCCTGCGCATGTCACGCGCCATCCTCGGTTGTATGCCGTGCTGGTTGCGGGTGCCCTCTGGTGGGCAGGGCGGAGGCTTCTCGGCCCTGTCAGTCCGTCTGGCAGGAAGGAATGGAATGCAGATCAGTCAATCAGTGACATGGAGAAGCGCGTGGACTTCACTCTGAGTTAGGGTTGGCAGTTGAGAGGGCGTCTCGAATGGGGGGCTGTGGGTTGGGGGCCCTGAGACTGCGAAGGCGGATTCGCGAAAGCTCTGTAGGTTCCTTGCCTAGGGTGTCTTAAGATGGCAGTATCTCCATCGCGGCGTACGGGCAAGAAGATAACGCCTCGGTTCATCCTCTCCGATGTGACGTCTGAGATTCTCTGCATTCGCTTCTCGCCTGACGACGCTTACCTGGCGGGTGAGTGAGGATAAAGGGTGTAAGGGAAGGAAGAGAAGCCAACGATGGCACTACAAATGCCATCGTTCATGCCCTCTCTCTCCGCTGGCTGTGTGTATATATGTGTTCAGCTGCGTGCAGCAACGGTGCTATCAAGATATTCAACACGTCCACGGGGCGGCAGGCGTATGTGCTCAACCAAGCAGGCGGCTCCCCCACCACACAGGCAGGCAGCCAACACCCATCCATCTCATGGACGGACGATGTGTCCATCCATCTATCCACGCGTCCATCAGGTGCGTTGGCGTCCCAACAAGGCCGTGTCGAAGACCAAGAATGTGTTGATTAGCGTCAACAGCGACGGTGTGGTGCAGCACTGGCACATTGCCTCAGGCAAGTGCCTCCACCAGATCATCGAGAACCACAACCAGCTCTTCTGCTGCGACTACTCCGAGGACGGAACCACATTCGCTGTCGCCGGCAAAAACAGGGAAATCCATGTCTATGACGAGGCCACCAAACAGCTATCGACCAGTCTCAAAGGTCAGGCAGTCAGTCAGGGGCTGGCTGCACGCGACGGTCGCGACAGACAGATGGCCAGACGAGTGATACATGTATGTAAGAAATGGATGGCTGCTTTTCTCCTTGTCTCGTCTCGTCTCGTCTCGTCTCGTTAGGTGCTGAGATGGGTGCGCACATCGGTCACGCGAATCGTGTGTTCTCGCTCAAGTTCAACCCGACGGCCAAGCACCTGCTGGTGACGGGCGGCTGGGACCACACCGTGCAGGTATGGGACACACGCTCGCAAGCCGCTATCCGCACCATCTATGGGCCATTCGTCGCCGGAGACGCAGTCGACATCGCAGGCAAGCAAAGGACGGACCAACCCCTCTCTCCCGACGGACGGACGGACGTCGATTGTCTCCCCTTCCATGCCATGCCATGCATACAGCTGATGGCGACACGATTCTGACGGGTTCGTGGCGACCGACTGAGCAGCTACAGCTGTGGGACTTTGGTACCGGCAAGAAGATCACCGACATCCCCTGGCAAACCGCCGACAGCACATCCCGGGAGCAGTGCATGGTCTACGCCGCCGAGTTCAGCAAGGACAGCACCTCCTGTCTCATCGTCGCCGGCGGCAGCGGGGCCAACGAGGCCAAGATATTCGACAGGGAATCCGACTACGTAATAAATCACACAATGGGCCGGCCGACACACACAGACAGACAGACAGACAGACAGACAGAAAGGGGCGAACAATCTTTGCCTGAATTGATGCCACCTATGTGTGTGTCTGTGTTTCAGGCGCCGCTTGGCACCATCACGTCGATGGCAAAGGGGTGCTACACGGTCGGTGGAGTGGACGGATGCCTCATTCGTTCATTCGCTCGGTGTCCTCATTCTCTCCCTGTCTGTCTGTCTGTCTGTCTGTCCGTCTGTCCGTCTGTCCGTCTGTCTGTCTGTCTGTCTGTCTCAGGTTGATTTTTCGTGTGACAGTTCGATGGTGGCGGTGGCCGGCGGGGACGGGGCCATCCGAGTCATGAACTGCCATCTGCCGCCCGCATGACATGACGACACACATGGGTCCTCACACAGCAGAGACACCAACTCGAGGTCAGAGAGGCAGGGATCGATTAATGCAGCAGAGAGTGCGTTTCTTCGTGTGTGTGCTCAGGCGCTCGCCGGCCTCTTTGTATTTTTTGTGCTGACTGACTGACAGTGTTTTGTTTTCGTTGTCGATGGATGCACGTGCGTGGTAGTGTGTTCTGCCGGTGAGCGTGCGTGACTGCGAATTGACACCCCTGTGTATCGCAACACAACATATCACTCCTTTGTCCCTGAATACAATTGATTCCCATGCTTAACACTGAAATACATGGATCACACAGATAAGGCATTGAGTCTCCGCCGGAAGAAGCCCCTTGACCGCCCCCCGAGGTCGCGATCCTCAAGAAGTGGAGATCTGTCTAGGTGAGCCCATTTGCGACTTGGAGCGGATACAAGAGGCTTTAAAACATGCATGGAATGAATGACATCCGAGACACAGACAGGTCACAATGTTCACCACACCACATTTGAGTGGTGGACGGACAGTCGGACAAACAAACAGATCAGTAACACATCCCATGCAGCGCACAGAGACTATGTATCTATCTGCCTTCCGTCTATCTCCCCTCCCCTCCCGTCCCCTCAGATACCCTTGGGTATTTGTTCCAGCATTCTCCTGTCCTCATCCAGCCCGTACTCCAAAGTCTCAATCTGACACACAACACACAATACGATTGTTTGTGTGCGAGCATGCATACACACCCACCCACACACACATACATCCATACCTCTTCGTCCGATGGCCATGTGTAGACGGGTTTTCCATCGAAGACCTCATCGGTGGGCACGCCAAACATGCGGATGGAGTCGGGCAGACGCGACAGCTCGTACTCCACACCCTTGTACTCAAGCGACGCCAACGGAGTCACCTGCATGCCATGGCATGGGTGGATGCATAGCATGCCACATAAACATGAGGCGGGCGGCATTCGTCTGTTTCAGTGTGCGGGTGTGTGTGTGGGTAGTCGGTTACGTCTTCTTCCATGTCGGCGCTGATCTCTCCTGCCGTCCACTCCTCTTCATAGTCCCCCATGTAGTCTGACAAACACACACATACATACACACACACTCATGCACCTCACCGCACTCATGGCCTCCGCCCGGTTCCGTCTTTGTCCTGTCATCTTACCGCTGAGTGCGTCTTCTTCGTCCTCGACGCCCAGGGTGGGGCTGTAGCCCGTGTACTTGATCGGCACCTTACCAGCTACGCACACACACACACACACACATTGACTCAGCTACTTGCTGTGAGGGGGTATGTATCCTCGCTGCCACGTGTGTGAACACTTACTGTCGGTCTCGACCCACCACTGCCCATTCTCATCCCGAAACACACCGTCTCCCGCTGACGCACGCACACAGACACACACACACAGAGGAGAAAGCATTCAGCCCCTATTCGTCTGAACTCCTTTACCATCGTCCCTCCCTCCCTCCGTCACCCACCCACGTGCTGACTGACCTCCTTCCTCCGCCTCTTTGCCCTCCTGTTCCTCCATGAAGGCGTCCAGCTCCCCGTCAGCCGTCAAGACAAACGGCGTGCGGTACAGCACCACGCCCTCCTCCTCCAGCTGAGGCGCCACCAGACCCCACAGCTCATCCACTATAGGCTCGTCAGCACCGATCTGTAGCTGCATGCCGCTCTCGGGGTCCTCCCGCGAGAAGCACACGGGCGTGAGGTTGGGGGCGCAGAGGACGTACTTGATGTCGTTGACGGGCAGGACGTCGTAGACGGTGGCCTGCAGGTACCGGTTGGTGGCCTGGTCCTTCATGATGATCTCCTTCCCTATGGACTCGTCCTCCATCGCCTCCTCATCTGGCGACCCTGCTGCTGATGCTGACGCACTCATCCTGAGAGTGACTGTGCTGAGTGTGGGTGCTCGCATCCTTCTGCTGTGCTGTGGATGATGCCGTGATGATGGCAGGGGACTCGCGGGCACGGCGAGAGTGAGCGGCGAGTGCAGGAAGGCGATGAATGGATCTCTTGGAAGGTGCCGCCGCGGGTGAGATCTCGAGCGAAGAATGTCCAGCTGTGTGACGCGGAGGGAGGTGGCGAGCTGCATGGAGAGCAACGATGAGAGGAAGACGGTCGCAGCCACCGACAGCCGATGGTGGAGAACAGCTGACCTTCGCCTCCTCGTGCAGCCTGTTGTTGAGGCTTGACAAGCATCCATTGTCGGATCTGACGCTGGTGTTGCTCTTCCCGTCATTCTTTCAGTCCGTTCCGAGCCTCGTATCATCCATCAGTGGTTTCACGCCACCACACCCTAGCACAGACAGCAAGGGACATCCGACGATGGATGGCGAAGGGCTTCCTCAGCCCATTGGGAGTGGCGTTCGACGCACGGGCAAGTTGCTGACTCGGCAGATCTGCCGCATCATCCATGGCATCAACCATCATCGGCGTGTATCGGCCTCGTGACTTCCAATCTCTATCATGAGGTCATAATCCCGCTCACCCGGCGGCATGAGTGACTTCGCCAAGAACCTGCAGAAAGGCCTGGCTGGCGGCAAGAAGGCCCTGTACGAGGATAAGAGCACCGAAGATGGAGGCCGTGATTCGCCAGCAGACAATCTGCGAGAGGTTCGCCGTGTGTCCAAGAGCAGGACCTATGCATCGTCGGAGGCGAAGGGAGGCCTCGGCACCACAGCAACCAGCGCCTCTCTTTCGTCACCCATCGGCCCTCACCGCCCCATGCACTCACATGAGAACCACGCACAGCTGCCTGCCAACAGTGCATCCCCGGCTGCGAGCACACCAGCCGGTGTGGGGCGAGCCATCCTCGGCGGAGGGAGGAGCGATTACGGTTTTGATCCGATGGAACTCGTGGCAGACCTTGTCAAGGTGCGTCGTACACGCATGAGTACGCAAACACACACACACACACACACGAACACCACCCGTGGGCTGAATGGCGGTGGATGCGTTGTGTCTGTGTGCAGCACCCCGCCATTCAGCAACTTCACAGGACTCTAGTCGGTGCGGCGGGCGTCAGTGAGGAGGACTACAATCGCCACTTGGTTCGCAGTCAGCTTGGCAACACATTTCCTCCCATCCTCCCTGACGAGGCAGCACGGATGTTGTCGAAGGTCGCCGATCAGGCGCATGGGTCGCTTTCCCGGCCTGATGGCGGGTGGGGGGAGGAGGTCGCTGTCGGCCTCAAGCAACACATGCCCCATCAGCGAAGCTTCTGCGTGCGTCTGCGCACAACTCTGTTCGGGGTATCGGCTCCCTGGTGTCCGCCGTACACACACGGGGTAAGGAAGCACACAAATCATTCGCACACACTTGGTCATGGCCTCTCTGCATGTGCCTCCGTGCAGCCCCTCTGTGTGTGTCTGGCCGACGGCCGTGAGGCCGGCGACCCCTCCGCAACCACATCGGTATCCCCAGAGGAGAAGGGGCACTTCGAGACGGCGGTCCGCATGACGTTGAAGCAGGGGTGGGATGACGGGCACCCCCAAGAGACGGGCAGCCGCAGAGTGAATCTAGGCACAATCGTGGAGAAGGTGGTGGACGAGCTGATGGACCGTGGAGTGGTGGTCGGCGGTCACCCGAAGACGATCGTCATGCTGTCAGCCGAGAAGCTGCTGCCCTCTGACGTGTCCTATCCCGGATCCGCCAGCGGGGTGTCTTGCGAGTGGGGCACTTTACCAGGGGGACTGACGCGGGAGGTACCAGGGGATCTGACCCTGTGGTTCTACTTCGTCAGATGGAACCCCCTCAGCAGCATCACCGACAGCAGCGCGTCTTTTGTGTCGGCGGACGCGCAAACGACCATCATCACCATAGCCCGTACCCCACCGTCCTCCCCGCCCCCTCCCCCAGCCCACTAGTCGGTGCAGAAGGCCACAGAGGAGGATGCTGGTGCCAGTGCTGAACGTGCGTCTGAGGACATACCGACCTCCATCAGCTGTCATGGCATGAGCGACTCAGAGCTCGAGGAGGCCTGCAAGTGGGCATCCGGGCCCCCTCTTCCCACCCAAGCCCCTCCACCAACACCAGCGTCGGCAAGTGACGACCAACCGACCAATCGGCTCTCACTGTCCACCACTCCCCCTCGGCACCAGCAGGGCGCCCCTGAGTTCAGCAGAGGAATCCTCACCTCCAAGCTGCAGGACGAGCCGTCCAAGGGCAGGTGCTTGTCGGCGACGGCTCGGCCATCGGTCGCCTGGTGTCCTGGTCTGCTCGAGGGAGACCGCGGTCCTGACAGCGACGGCCCCAGCTCACTGGTGGGCAGCAAGGACGCAGCAGGGCTGGACAAGGCGGAGAGGCAGCAGATGGGCAAGATGGTCCGGCAGAGGGGCGGGCTGGCCGAGGGGGAAGGTGAGGAGCTGCCGGACGACACGCCTGGTGTGCCTTCCCCGGCCACGGATGTGACGACGGCGATGCGAAAGCGGCTGGCTGTGCTGGAGGAGAACACCAGCCTGCACTCCATCGAGGGGCAGCTCGAGCAGAGCTCCTACTTCTCAAAGCTGGCAGACGACAACCTCAGCGACTCACACGAGCAGAACGGCCAAGAGCCGTCCGTCCACTTGCCCAAGCACGACAGAGATTTCCCCCAGAAGCAGGGCAAGGCATCTTCCCCCGCCGGCAGCTCGTCGCCCTTCCTCTCCCTGGCCAATCTCCGCAGCGCCATCGGCACGCCCGGCGGGCCCACTCGGTCGGCGGACACCAAGGGGACAGCTCGGGGACGGATGCACAACGACGATGGGTCGGGCGGTGAGGACGGGGGTGATGCCGACGAGCGGCACTCACGGCCCAAGAAGGTGGTGGTGGAGGAGCTGTTCCCGGGGCTGGTGGGGGAGCTGGACGAGCTTATCGCGCGCTGGCAGGATGAGACTCTCAAGCGGATGGACCCGAACAGCCAGAAGATGAAGGCCATGGTGCGGGCGATGCGGGAGATGTACGCCCACGATCAGCTGGTGCCAGAAGATCAGCGCAAGGCCGTGCATCTCAAGGAGGACCAATCCCTGCTCTCATCGCTGCCAAATCCGGGCTTTCCCGACCCCTTCGTCATGGACGGTGTGCTCTTCCGCCACGCCCTGCAGGCGTGTGTGGTCCACGGTGCGGCCGGTTCGCTCGAGGCGCTGCTGAGGGAGACGCTCGTCAAGCCGACCGAGAAGGACAAGGGGAGGCTGGCTGTGGGTGAGGTGTGGGCCAAGAGGGGCGGGAAGGTGCTCAAGTGGGACGACCTGACCCTGGATGCTCTCTATCCATCGTGCATGTACAGTGACGAACCTCTCACTCTAGCCACTGAAGGTCCGCAGACAGACAGACAGACAGACAGGCAGGCAGACAGAGAGAGATATGGACGGTTCGGCACTTAGTGCACGTTGGTTCTGATCTTGTCTGTGTGTCCAGATTATGTGCCGTCCCCCCTGGTCGTGCAGGCAGCCGTGGCCAACGCGCCCATCCAGATCATGCGGGTACGTCCTGAGCCTGTCGTGCTGGCTGCGTGCAATGGAAGCCTCCATGTGTCTGTGTTATGCAGACGCTGCTGGCGTACAACGCCGATGTGAATGCACGAGGCTATGGCGGCCAGAGAAAGGTGACTTACGGCAAGCTCAGCTACAACACATCCGCCGTCGGTAAGCGGCAAGGAAGATATTGCTGAGACACAGCCTCATCGCATTGTCCCTGTCTCATGCATGTCCGCTTTCCGTGTATGTGTAGGCGCGGCAGCATTGTGGCACCATCCGGATCTCCTCGGTTTCCTCCTTTGTGAGGCAAGAGCCGACCCCGCAGTCCCGTCAATCGCGACGTTTGAGCACGGACACGGTAGGTACCACAGCCCACACCTCTGAACGAATGACCTCCATCCCTGTTCGTGCCTCCTCTGTCTTTGCCAGGCCCCCCCATCCACCTTTCTCTTGACTTGCTTGCTTCAGCTGGGGTGCATTGGCCCGCCGTCCCTCGAGGGTGCGCAGCCGTCGGAAGCGCAACAGCGGCAGGCCCTAGCCACGATCGAGGTGCTCGATGCGGAGGGACTGGTCAAGTACGGCGGGAAAGACAGCGGCATCTTCGACATCAACGGCAGGGACGAATATGACAACACGCCCCTGCACATGGCCACCGGCAACGGCTGGTGCAGCCTGGTCGAGTGGCTGCTCGAGAATGGGGCGGACCCTGGGGCTGTCAATCAGTTCAACGAAACGCCTCTCGACTCCGCCCGTCGATTCGGCCGGAAGGTCAGCTGTCAAGGAATGGCGTCCAATGAGCCGTGACAGTGAGTGAGTCCGCCCTGTCGTGTTTCACAGGAGTGCGAGGCTGTGCTGCTGAAGCATTTCGCGGCCCGTTCGGGGCAGACGGCCACCAACACTGCTGCAGGAGCCAGTACGGGATCATCTTCCATCCCCACGGCAAGCGAAGCACCGCCCCACACACATATGGCAGGGGCACGCATACACACAGACCACACCGTTTGTGTGGATGGATGGATGCAGGCAGCTGCAGCTGGTCTGATGGAGGAGGGCGGCAGTGTCGAGGCACCAGCAGCGGCCGCGGCACACCACAGGAAGAGGCAGGAGCTGCGTGAGAAGGCGGCCAGGGGAGTGGTGCAGATGAAGGCCACGGCGAGAGCGATCCGGGAGGCGTGCAGACACGACCTGTTGACGCCAGAGGGGCCACGCAGGCCCGTCGATCTCAAGGAGGACCGCTCGCTGCTGTCGTCGCTGCCCACTCCCATGGTCTCCTACAGAAACGGCTTCGTGCTGAAGCAGGCCCTTCAGTCATGTGCCCTGTACGGCTCGGCTGGGTCACTCGACACGCTGCTGCGGGAGAACTTCATCAAGCCGACGGAGGAGGGCGGCGACGAGGGTCTGTCGGTGGGACAGGTGCGGGCGAGGGACGGGGAGGTTATCAGGTGGCGAGACCTCTCGCCTGCCAGCATCGAGCCATTCGAGGGCGAGAGCATTCGGCGGGACGGTAAGTGGAGAATCAAAGCGGGCTGGGAGGGTGATATGTCTGTTTACGTCTGGATGGCATCAGATTATTTGCGGACGCCTTTGCTGATCGAGGCAGTCGCGTCTGATGCTCCCTGTCCGCCGCGGATCGTCAAGGTACGCCAGTAGAGAGACCGCATGAGATCACTTAGCCGCCTCTCATGGGCCTGTCTGTCTGTCTGTCTGTCTGTCTGCAGTCTCTGGTCGAGTATAATGCCGACGTCAACGAAATCGGTCCGGCGGCTGTGGACTGTGAAGACAGAAAAGTTATGAAGTCATCGGCTGTCGGTGAGTGTCGAGAGGACAGGACAGGACAGGACAGGAGAGAAATGCCGGATGGACACAAGTCTGACTTGGTGTCTTCAGGTGCTGCTGCTTATTATCACCAGCATGAGGTCCTCGACTACCTTCTGCAGCAGCCGCATGCCGACCCGTCAGTCCTCTCTGAGGGGGACTTCCTCGACGGCATGAATCTTCTTCAGCTCGCCTGCCGTCGCAACCAAGATAGCGACGGTGAGTGACTGGTCGATTGAGCCAGACTGACGCGCGCTGACGCTCTTGTGTGTTGCGACAGCTCCCGTGCCCCCTCCCGAGCCCATGGTGGGCAGCAAGAGCCGCAAGAAGGCCGCCAGCAAGGGCAAAGGGGCCGGAAACGTTGGCCTTGCAGAAGATGGGGGACAGCAGGCGGCCGGCGGCACAGCGACGAAGGAGGCGGAGCAGAAGGAGAAGGCCCGGCAGTCGCGTGCAGTGGCCACCCTGGAGGTGCTCGAACGCCACGGCCGGACGCGCAGTACACCGACCGAGGGCAAGGGAGGGCGTCGCAAGAGGCCCGTGCTGAGTCTGCACTGCCGTACCAACGAGGGCTGGTCTCTGCTGCATTTGGCGGCTGGTAATGGGTGGTCCGAGGTGATCAAGTGGCTGCTGGAGAGGGGCGTCGACGCTGAGGCCGTCAACAAGAACGAAACACCCCTCGATGTCGCCCGCCAATTGGGCCGGACGGTCAGCAGACACGATGAAGGCACACCACGTCAGCCGCTTTGTTTGTTTGGTGTGTTCAGTCGTGTGTGGACGTGCTGATGGCTCATCTGGTGGCCCGTCAGAAGGCTGCGGCTGCCGATCTGCTGCGAGAGGAGGAGATGGCCCGCAAGAAGGAGGAGAGGGCGGCCAGAAAGCGCGAGCAGAAGCGTCTCAAGGTGCCCTTCCCCTGCACCGCTGCACACATGGATACTGCATGTGTGTGTCATTGCCTTCAGCGTTTGGCGGCTGAGCAGGCCGAGTCAGCGGCAGATGGCGAGAGGGAGGAGGCCGACGACACACAGCACGAGACTGAAGAAGTAGATGATTTGACGGAGAAAGCTGCTGCGCCGAGCTGCCCGCCAGACACACACAGCGACAGGTGCAGACAGCGCCACCGACACTTTTACCCAGTAGCCCCCATCTGTTGCCCTTCTTGTGTGTGTGGCGCACAGTGTCGAGCCGGCCTTCTCTGACGCCCCGAGTGACCACCAGCAGCAGCGAAATGTCCTCAGCCAGGAGCCTCCAGCTGGTGTCGGCCCTTCGCCATTCGCTCCTGCCCCTCTCTCCCCTGCCCATGGCGCGCCGGCCAGCCATTTGTTTGCTGCCCAGCGGCCGTCCAGCTCATCGTAAGGCGCTCGGAGGGACCCACCACACACCGAGTGACTCGCTCTGTTGTGTGTGCGTGTGTGTGTCATCCATCCGTCAGGTCCTCATTTGTCGACCCGCTGGCGTCATCGACGGTCAGCACGACGCCCGCCGACCGGCCCTCCTCCGCACAGACATCGACCGCAGCAGACCAGTGAGGAAACATAGCCCCAAGCGACTGTCAATGTGACTGTGTGTGCGCAGGTTCTGCCCGGCTAATGTGACGGCTCAGTTGCGGGCTGACCTGAACGAAGCCATCGACAAGAAGGAGAGGTCAGACAACACAACAACATGGCCATGTGTGTCATACCAATGTGTTTTGTTCCGTGTGTGTGCAGTCTGGAGGATCAGTACAGTGATCTCTTGGCTGCCCGTCGGGGGGATGCCCATCGCGTCAAGGAGCTCAAGACAAACATACGACGACTCAAATACGTCACTCCCAAGTGAGCGATCCACACAAGGAGAGGGCTTCCCAGCGGCTCCACTCCGTGTGCTGTTGATGCAGCCTGAGCCACGATGTGTTGGTGTCCCTCGCCACGGCTGCCGAAGTGCATGAGTTTGAGGCAAAGATCAGCCGCGAAGAGGAGCGGCTCGACGAGCTCATGGAGACGGCCGTCGACGCACAGCATGCCCTCCGGCTGCAGAGCGGCGCATCCAAACCCACAAAGGCCCCCGCAGCCGAGCAGCAGAGCGCCTCAGCCGCAGCCGCAGCTGCAGCGTCTGCCTCCACGCCCACATCCGCTGCTGAAGGGTGGGTGGGACGGTGAGGAAGGCGCGCCATCGATCTTCGTTGCATCTCTGTGTCGCTCCCTTGTGTGTGCATCAATCAGGTGTGGGGTGCCTGTGTGTGGAGCGATGCGGGTGTTGTTGGACGAGTCGTCGACTGAGGGTCAGCTGCTCGAGGCCATACAGCACATCCAATACGATATAGACCAGTAAGAGAGGACGGTCCCGATGGTAGCCAGAAGGAACCCATCGCCCTTGATCTGTCTGTCTGTCTGTCTGTCAGGTTGGAGGGTGAGATCTCTCGGATGACGGACGAGCACAGCGAGATAGAGGCCTCACTACAGCCGCTCGAGCAAGAGCACCACACACTGCAGCACGAGGCAAAGAAACGGTAAACAAAGGCCCACCAACACACACAGACGGGCCAGAATGCATCTCTCCGTATGCCTGTCTGCCCATGGTCAGGCTGACCCCTACTCGTCTGGAGTCGCTCAACAGCATCGCAGCGGTGGATGCCTTCAAGCGCGACATCAAGAGGGCCAAACAAGAGCTGCGAGATCTAGCCAGAGAAGCCGCTGTGCGTCATACTGCACTCGAGAAGGAGGAGATGGCCGCTGCTGCTGCTGCTGCTGCTGATGGCGATGGCGGGGAGGGCACCTGCGTCATGTGCATCTCGGAGACGCCGACAGTCGTATTCTTGTCATGTCGGCAGGTCAGTGGACACACACACGAGTCGCATACCACCATTGTCCGTGTGTGTGTGTGTGTGTGTGCAGAAGTGCCTGTGTGAGGGATGCTGGCGCGACATGGCGGCGGCCCACGAGGCGGCCAATAAGGAGAAGCCCGCCTGGAGGCACTGGAGCGGCGAGTGCCCGACAACATTGCCCGGGATGCTCAGCTCAAGTGTCCGCTGTGCAACCAGGAGGCCCACTACGCCAGCACCGTCGACGGCATCACAACAGCCACGTGAGCAGCAACAGACAGAGACAGCCTGGTGGACCGACGTGTGCATAGCTGTAGCTCTCATGCGCCCGCGCCCACGGATGGCGCGGACTCAAATCAGTCAGTCATGGCTGTGAGGACACTGCAGATCGACAGACCCCTTTATTTGGCTGCATGGCATGGATGTCGTGAGTGAGTGAGATGACAGACAGACCGTGTGAGTGCATGGCATGGTGCCTGCGTGTACGTGTGTCAGTGACCTTTATAGTCTGTGAATACCAACCACTCCGCCACCGTCATCAGAGAGAATCTAATATGTACACTGCAACTTCAGTTGCATGGTTCGTCACCGCAACTGAGTATGCACACACACACACTGCACAAGACCAACACACACACACACACACATACGACACTCCCATGCCATGGAGGGACAAGCCTCACGCAGTCGGCCAGACCAAACCACACATCATATTTGTCCCGTTTGTCTCTGTGTATCGGTGGCATAGATACATGGATAGAGGGCACGTGGCGTGCAGCTAAGCCGCCACAGTCGCGCGCACCGCACCCTGCCTGTGTCAAGGACAAGACAGACAACACATGCATTGCATCATTACTGGCAGTGCATCACTCACTGACAGTACACACCTGACTGTTGTCGGCTGGGTGGGATCATCCGTCCATTCGTTCGAAGAATGCGGTCTTGAGTTTCTTCATGTTGGTGCGCATGGCGTGGAGTTCGTCCCCCTTCTGGATCTCCATGACTCTGTTGTGGTCCATCTGCTGACTCCGCCTCTTGTTGGCCCTCTGGCCAAACTCCCTGATCTGCCCGCTCAACTCGCCCACACGACCTGCATGGCATGACCGACAGACGCATGTAAGCAACACATGGATGAAGCAAACAAGGACACACACACACACGCTGTGGTGGGGGTTGAGAAGGAAACAAAGGAAATGCGCTGTCCTCCTTGGTTGTGCATACGTCACGTACGTGACATGTCTAGTGCCTGGTCCTCGAGCTCTGTCATGATTTCATTCCACCAGGTGGGCGCCAGCTCCAGCATGATCTTCTGCACGTCCTGCGAGTCCTGCTTGGCCACCCGCTCCTTGACAAAGTTGATGATGGTACTACGCATCGGCTCGGTCTCCTTCAGACTCGGCTTCTCGCGCAGCTGATCAATCCATCGACACACAGCACAATATGCACGACACATGCATCCGTCCCTCCCTCGTGCTAACAGGTCTGTGTGTGTCTGTCGTTTCTTTCGTGTTAGTTGCCGTGGGGTGACGTACGAGGAAGGATACGATGCCGTCCGGGTACTCGCTAGGGTCTTGCAGCTGCTGCAGCTGGTGCATGATCTGGCCCTGCCACGCAGAACCGACACATTGAGAGGTAGGACGCGTTGTATGTATGTGTGTGTTGCAGTCTAATGAAGGTGGTGCCGGCGCAGCAGTGTGTTTGTGTGTCTGTGTACCAACCAGGATGAGGTTTGAGTGCTCCTCCATCAGCAGAGAATTCGTCATCTGGTACTGATACACACACACACACACATACACACACAAGGATAGTATGCCCTCTCACAGTCAGTGTGTGACCTTGGATGCCTTCTCTCTTTGTCCCCACCGACCCACCGACCCACCAGGTGCAGCAGGCCCGTTTTGGTTTCCGACTGGTCGGTGGCGGGGACGGTGAGTGAGCCGGCGGCCTCTGCCAAGCCTTCGATGTATTTCTTGAGCACCGTCTGCCGCTCGTCATCGCCTCCATGGTACACTGACACACACACACACAGACAGGATGACAGGATGGCAGGATGGCACCATCCATCCATCCACCCACGCGTGTTTGTCGGTTCGGTCAAGTGAAGTGCTTATCTTACCGAATGCCCTCAGTTGTTGGAAACATGCGGGATGGACGTTGGGGAGCTCCACTGTCTGGGTGTTTTTCTCATTGCAGGCCATATCGCCCTGCAGCATATCGAGAAGCAACGTTGAGTGCACGTCATGCGCACGCACTCATTTGTCCTCTGCCGCTCCGCATACTTCACCTGCAGCATGGTCTCAAAGTGCGGCGATGCCCCGACCAACAGCGACTTTTTCTCGTAGAACACCTCCTGCTTGCACCCCACCACCAACTTGACCAAACCTGCAGCCATCCCATGCACCAAATCCACACAGAATGAGAGCGATGAGTGCATGGTGGTGTGGACTGACGGAGTGCTGCAAAATTCCACAATGAATGCTTACCATCGTCCGCGTGCGCCATGGCTACTGCATTTCTACATGAACATTTCACCAGCGCGCGATCGGCGTGAAGCTCGCGGTGGCGATCTGAAGGCAGCGGCGAAGATGCGCTCCAGCCGCAGTTCGAAGGTGGTGTACCAGAAGCCAACAGCCAAGAGCCGCGGCAAGTGGGTTTCCCAGAGCAGTGTGCAGAAGAGCATCAAGGACTTCAAGGCCAAGAAGGCGCTCAGGGCCCTCAAGAAACACAAGGCCGTGCCGTCCACTGCCGACACGACACATGCATCGACGAGCAAGGCCTCTGCCAGCTTCTATGACAAGGTCAGCAGCAGATCAGATCCACACACGAACGATGATCAATCTGGCTGTTGGTTGACTCATGCACATCGGTTTCTGACTGGTGTGTTTGGGTGTCAGGTGTTCTCTGCGGCGAGTCTGGAAGAGCTCGAGGAGGACTATGAGCGGCGCCTTCTCGACCCCAAGGGCCGCCACACCCCTCCCCATCCACCAGCAACCGTCGACAAGACCGAGCCCGATGCCCCAGATGATGCACCAGTGGAACACCACTCTCCAGCTCATGACGATAGGGCCACCGCTCATCGAGGCAAGAAGAGGGCTCGGGATCATGATGAGCCATCAAGCCGTCAGGAAGCCCGTGACATGTCAGCCGAGGCACCCTCTCCTCCTGCTGCTGCTGATGAGAGTGTGCCGAGGAGGGGTCGGAGGAAGGGCAAGGGTGGCTTGAAGGACGGTGGGAAGGGGTCGGCATATGCCAAGGCCATCATGCAGCTCAACCAACGGAAGGTATGTATGTACGGCCGCCGCAATGCAGGCAGACAGGAAGAGGGTGCCATCGACTCTGTGTGCCCGTCATGTCATCAGGCTGAGGAGGCCCGGCAGCGGGAGGAGAGGGAGAAAGAACGGGTAAGCAGATACATACTTGTCACCCGTTCCTTGCGTGATGTGTGTTGTATGTGTGTGGGTGTCGTTAGCGAGAGCGCGAGCAGCGTCACAAGGAGAGCGTTGCCAGGCGGAACCGAGAGAAAAAGTGAGATGGAAGAACCAGACAGCCAGCCATGTTAACGTGTGCGGCAGCATCTGTGTGCATTTGTTTGTGTGTGCGCGTGATGGTGCTGTGTGTGTGTGTGTCAGGTTGTTGTATCAGAAGACGCGCAAGGGCCAGCCAGTGATGAAGGGACTGCTCACGTCCATCCTCAACAAAGTCGACAGGACACACTGACTGAGCTCTCATGCGGACATCCATGCATGCGCGCAGATCCACGCAGCACACGCATTGTGTGCGCATATGACCGACCTATCGCCTAGCGCTGCTCTTCTTTGTGCGTCCCTCGATCTGTCCACTGGTGCACCCGTGGAAAAAGAGTGCCCGAGAGCAGATGAGAGAGAGATAGCACACAGGCAGGCAGGCGGGCAGGCAGGCAGAGAAGTACAAGAATCCCCTCGCGCATCGCATGGACCCACTCAGCATAGCTCCATTCCCAGATGAAGGACACATGGACAGGAAGAAAAAAACCGATGGATGGATGGACGGATGAGACCAGAACGCACTGCACTGCACGCATACCATCTCACGCAATCTCTTGGTCTGTTGGTTCGCCAGCCGTGATGCTGTCTCCCTCCGCCACAGACACCGCAACGCTCTCAGTGTCTCTCTCACCCCGACAGCATTGCAGCCCCTGCTCCTGAAGGAGACTGCATCAAGGCAGACCGATGTCCAACAGTACACCACTCACCATTTCCCGCGAAAACAGGAGACAAGGATCCATCTGTCCGGTCTCGGGTGTGTCATTGTCTGTCTGTGTTGTTCGCCGGCCGTCCACCAGACGTCATCGATCACTCGTGCTTGCGACGAGCGATCGAGTGCGTCTCGTGCACGACAACGAAGCAACGTCAGGCAGACTGCGAACACCACAACTCGAACGACACAACACACCGACAGCGAGGAAAACGAAGCATGTGGGTTCAAACCACCATGAGCAATAAGCCCCCCCTGAATGAACAAACACATCAGGTGCTTTGATCTCTCCTTCCTTCCGCCGGTCTGCATCCGCTGGGCCGTCAACACGACACGCAGTGAGCCGGCGATCAGGTGCTCGCAAGCTCACCACGTGTCCTGAAGGCGAAGCAGCGGATGCAGACGGGCGTCTCATACCCCTCTCAGAGCGACCCACACAGGGAGGAAGCTCTCAATCGACTGACTGCTGCATCTGACTGATATCGCCAGAGGGGGGAAAAAAAGTGCATTGCTTGCGATAAAAAAGCAGACAGGCATGGGGCACCCATGGGCAGACAGATAGACAGACAGGACAGCGGCATTCATTCATCATTGGACGGCAATCTCCATAAAACACGAATAAAGACCAACCGTACTCTACAGCCCCCAAAGCCCACACTCATCCCACGCCCTCACCACACACAGACAGACGCACACATGGACACATGGACACCACCCACGTGGCTGCAGCAAAAACCTTGGTGGTGAGGACGAAAATGGGACCACACACACGCACACAGGAAGGCCAGGATCGCACGCAGCACCGTCGTCATGTTCGCTTGATGGGCTTCACCTGGAGCCCTCGCGGCTTGTAGCTGATGCACACACGTCACACACACACAGAGAAAGAGAGAGAGACAAAGGGTTTAGGGCGATGAAGGACATTCCTCCCTCCCTCTGTGTGGGTGTGTGGGGGCCCTACGTGATTGCGAAATACGGCTCGGGCTCGGTGGTGACCTCAAACCAATAACGGCGGAACAGCGCAGCCAACGTCAGGCGAATCTGACACACACACACACACACACACGCATTCATCCATTTGTTTGGGCGTGTGTTTGTGCGGGCATCTGTCAGGCAGAGAGAGGGAGATGGACTCACCTCAATCGTAGCCAGGTTCTGCCCGATACATGCCCTCGGTCCAACGCCGAATGGCTGCATCACCTTGTTGTAGAGCTTCAGTTGCTCCTCGCTCGCCTCCAGCCATCGTTCCGGACGGAACACCTTGCCGTCACCCCATCTAACACACACACACACGGGAGATCGATGAGATCGCTGACTGACAGGTAAGAATGGGAGCACGAGTGTGTCGCGTACATGTCTGCAGCGGTTAATGTGGGGAGGAAGGGCACCACCACCTCATAGCCAGGAGGTATGTAGTAGTCGACGCCCTTGGAAGTGAGCTTCACGCCCCGGTCGACGGCGCGGAACTGACCATTTGACGCCACCGTCGTGCTGAGTGAGTGAGGGAGTGAGCCAACAGACAGACAGACAGACAATGGCACGTGGTCTACGTTCCTCTGTGCTGTGTGTGTGTGGATTCTCTGCCCCTTTGGTAGGGTTACATGCGCATGATCTCTTTGACGACAGCGTTGAAGTATGTGAGGCTGGACAGCTCGTCGTAGTTCGGGAACTCGCCAGCGAAGCTCGCGCCATCCAGCTCCTGCAAACAAAGAAGATCGCTCTATCGCTCATCCATCCATCCATCCATCCACCCATTCATTCATCAGGTTGAGTGACCTGCTGCAGCTTCTTGAGGACGAGTGGGTTGCTGGCCAGGTGGTAGATGCCCCACGCCAGGCTGTAGCCCGTCGTGTCGTGGCCAGCAATGAGCAGTATGTAAACATCGGCAAGGCGCTCGTAGTAATCCTCGTAGGGGGCCTTGTGGATGTAAGACATGATCGACGTCGGCTACCGCACACACCCACACACATACAGGTGCGGTGTGTATGGTTGGCTGGGCCGCGGTGTCACTCACGTACGTCTCTCTGTTCGATGGGCGTGTCGATGAAGTGTTTGTCGACCTTCTCGCAGATCTCTCTCACCGCCCTCTGCTTGGCGTGGAACTCGCGAACGTCCTTGTGCCACAGCATATAGGGCCTACAGCCACCAATCCATCCATCCATCCATCCTTATCTGTATGTCCGTTGGTCTTTACTTTAAAGGGTTGTAGATGTTGTCGGTGAGGAACTTCAACATGTAATCGACGCCGTCCAGAAATGTCAGCGCGTCACCGTTGCGACCCTCGTCAAACGCGTGGAACGAATACCTTACACACACACACAGAGACCCACACACAGAGAGAGATGGCATACAATACACACGCAAAGCAATCAATGGTAAATGTCGTGGCCGGCGCTGTGCAGTGTGCATTGCACATGTCCGTCCCTCTGTACCCGAATGCCGTTTCGCCGATGACGTCGATGGTGAGCCTGAGAGCCCACTGGTCCATGGGCACCGACACGCCCTCGGCCGCCGCCTTGTCCAGCGCACCGCAGAATCCGCCCAGCGAACGGTGGTACGCGGGCACCTTGGTTGCCAGCGCCTTAGTGCTGCACACACCACACCACACCACACCACACCACACACATGGATGGACGGACGGTCCTCTGTGTGCGTGCGTGTGTGTATGTGTGTGGGACTGTGACTGTGGCTAACGCGAATGCGGGTGCGAGTGCTTTGCGGATTGGGTGCCAGCCCTCGCCGACTGTCCTGCGGGAGAAGATGCTCCACTCTGTTTTGCTCAAGGAGCCGCCACGGCGGAGGTCGAAAGCGCGGAACGCTGTGGCCTTCTCCAGACCATCTGATCGATGGAGGCCACACACACACACACACACACAGAGAGAGAGAGAGAGAGAGCCATGGATGGATGGATGGATGGGCGACATAAATGCACTTCTGCCCTTACGCACCGGCCCCGAGCAGCTGTGGGAAGCAGGTCCAGTCGGTCACGACATAGATGCGCTTCCCCAGCGGCAGCTGGTAGTAGTACACCTCGCTCTCCAACTCATCACGCCAATGCGCATACCTAAATGACCACACACACAGCACACACACACACACAGAGAGAGAGAGAGAGAGAGAGAGAGAGAGTTCCCTATCTCTCCATGCGCTCCCGCCCGGCATCCACATCCACTGCTCCCTTACAGAAGCGGCAACTTTGGGTCGCCGAACTGAGCGAGTGACTCGGCGATTGACAGGGGCACACACGGCGGGTCACGCAGCGCCTTCCCCTCCTCAGCGCTGATCCCATGCACACCTCTCGTCGCCTGCTTGTTTGTGTCTTCGGCAGAGGGGCTGTTGGCGACCTGCTTTTGGTTCTTCTTGCGCTGTATGCGGATGAGCTCCTCGAGGCCGACGAGGCAGACGACGCCGGCCGAGAGGGCGGCAAGGGGGAGGAGGGAAGAGGTGGCGGACGGCTCCGTAGCTGTGGCGGGCATGGCGAAACCCAATGAACGGATAAATGAACGATGCTTCCTTAAGAAGGAATGAACAGCTGCAGCTGCTGCAAGATCTGTGTACTGCAGAAGGGGGTGAAGGATATCAAACGACGAACGAACGAACGACCAGCAAGATCTGCTCTGATTCCGTGAAACTGCTCGCTCTGTTTTTGAGCGCGCATTTGTCGGCGAGAGAACCGGTTGCGGCGTTGTTGTTGGAGGATAGCGAGAGCTGGATAGCATCTGTTCGCCGCCATGGGCCAGCCGAAGGAGGCGGCTGTGATCATCCTGGACTGCGGCCGCACCATGGCGGCCAAACTCGACGACCAAGACGACACCAAGACACACTTCACCCTTGCCAAGGTGCGCACCAACGTAACGTCCGCACACACAAACACGGCCTGGCCTCCCCACCTACGCACACACACGGATGCGGCCATGGATGCGCGTATATGTGTGTGTGTGTGTGTCTGTGTAGGATGCGGTGATAGATCAGTTGAAGCACAAGCTGCTGCTGAACCCCAAGCAGCAGCTCGCCGTCGTCTGCATGGGCACTCAAGGTCGGTCGATGGGCGTGGGGCGATGCCAGCCACACAACACAGCACAACACCGCACAGCACAGCACAGCACAGCACAGCACATAGGTGCTGTGCCGTAGTGTGCTACACGTGGCGGTGTGGCGGTGTGGCGGTGTGTGTAAGGGATGCAGTGGGTGCGCGTGTGTTGTCTACCCCATCTGCAGAGACGAGCAACTCGATGCACGACGAGGTCGAGGGCGAGGGCTACCACAACGTCACCACACTCAGATACTCATCCAACAAAACGGGGGTACGCGCCGACCGACCGACACCCTCACACACACAACGATATCATGGGCGTGAGTCTGATGCGCGTGTTTGTGTGTGTGTGTGTGTGTGTTAAGTTGGGCGACGGCAGCGTCAGGTTGGTCAAGGAGGTGATGGACCAGGGGTGTGAGGACGCCGAGAGCAACCTACTCGACGCGCTGTTCGTGGGTAGGTATCTACAATACCACACCAGCCGGCCGTCCGGGATAGACAGGACAGTCTTGGAGACCATCTGTGTGTGTGTGTGCGTGATGTGCTGTGTTGTGTTGTGTTTCAGCGTGTGACCTGTTGTCGAAGGGCAATACCTACCTGGGGAAGAAATACAAGAAGATGGTAGCCAGGCGGCCAAACCAACAAGCATCACATCACATCACACCACATCACATCACACCACAAAATAGCCTCGTTCCTTCCTGTGTGTGTGCGTGTGTGTGTCTGTCTGTGTGGTCACTCACTCGCTCCTTTCTTTGTGTGTGTGTCAGATCTTCCTCTACACCAACGGCCTGTGCACATTTGACCCTGCTGGAGAGGAGGATGGCATCGCTGCACTCCTAGACAAAATGAAGGTGCGCACCGCACGCCAGGCAAACACCAAACCCAACGCACACGCACACCACGCCCCCCCGCCCCCCCACATCGACATGACGCCCAGCCCACATGTGCAGGAGATGGAGTGTCCTCTCTACACCATCGGCATCGGCTTCACGGGCGACACCGACATCACTGCCGGGGGTGGGTCGGGGGATGGGGGTGGGGGTGGGGCGGCAGCGGCGAGTGCGGGGGGGACGGGGGCCGACGACGACGGACACCGGGTGAGTGAGTGAGTGAGGGAGAGAGATGTCGCTGTGTTGCGGTGCGGATGTGCGTGGTTGTTTGTTGTGGTGGATGTGTGTGTGTTTATTGGTGTGGCGTAGGCTAAGGTAGAGGGGTTTCTGCAGGACATGGCCAACAAGACAGGTAGGCATGCACGCAGGCAGGCAGGCAGGTGTCACCCACTGCATGCATTAATGCATGGGTGTGTATGTGTGTGTGTCGTGTTGTGTATATGTGTGCAGATGGGATTGTGCAGCCGTCGACCAACGTGCTAGACAACCTCAGACTCTTCATGTGTGTACCGTACCTCCACCGACCCATCCGCAGGAGAGAATGCTCTTCTACCTGTCTACAGTATCCCATCTCCCTCTCCCTCTGTGTGTGTGGTTTGTTTCAGGAAGAAGGTCAAGTTGCAGCGTACCAAGTACAGGGAAATTCTCCAGATACACCCCAACATGAAGGTCGGCTGACCTGGGGGCGTGGGGGATGGGCGGGATCGAACGAGACCGCCATCCAACATGATCTATAACATATATATGACGTGTGTGTGGATGTCTGTGCAGATCCCGGTGTGGAGCTACATCAAGTGCAAGCGGGAGCCCCTCCCCACGGCCAAGAAAAAGGTAGACATCCAGCCCCTCCCTCCCCTCCTCCCCTCCCCTCCTCCCCTCCACACACGCATACAAACACACGCACACATGTGTTCATTGCCCTTTGTGTTGTCTGGGTCTGTCTGTCTGTCTGTGTATGTGTTGTTCAGCTGAAAGTCCCCACCGAGGACGGTGACCAAGTGAGAACCGACACCCAGTACCAGAAAGTCGGAGTAGGCGACGACGAGGATGGTAAACACACGCGCACACACACACATATACACAAACAAACCACCACGCGCACACGGGCGTGTGTGTGTGTGTGCGTGTGTGTGTGTGTGTGTCTTGTGTTGTGGTGTGTTTCAGATGCTGACATCCAGCTGATGGACATCGCTAAGGGTTTCCGCTTCGGCGAGACCACAGTGGCCGTCGCCGAGCACCAAATCGAAAACATCACGAAATACCAATGTGACCGGTAAGCAAAGCTAAGCTAAGCTAAGCATGCCCCTCCCTCCCCCTCCCCTCTCTGTCTGTTGTGTTGCGTTGCGATGCGTTGCATCTGTGTGCCTTGGCTGGCTGGCTGGCTGGCTGGCATGGCAGCAACATGGTGTGTATTGGGGCCGTGTCTGCATCCGACATCCCATGTACCTACCGCTACCCCCTACTCCCAATCCACACACACACACACACATCTGTGCGGCCATCCGTCCATCCATCCATCAATCCATCCATCCATCCATTGTGTGTCCTGCCTGCCTGCCTGTGTGTGCGTGGTTGGGTCAGCTCACTACCTGATGCCGCCGTGTGAGTGCGTGGTGGCGGAGGAGCACAACAAGCCGGCGGCCGAGGCGCTGGCTGCCGTGGCCCAGGCGCTCGAGGAGCTGCGCCTGTACCTCATCTGCAAATATTCATACTGCAAGAATGCCCAACCCAAACTCTGCATACTCCGGCCAGGTGAGGGACCGACCCGCCGAGGGAGGGAGGGAGGGATGCGCAGACACGGATGCATCCCTGTGTGTGGTGTGGTGTGGTGTGATGTGGTGATGTGATGTGATGTGATGTAATGTGATGTGTGTTAGAGGCGAAGCGCACCAAGAAGTGTCTGTATCTCAACCCCATTCCCTACCACGAGGACATGCGCACGCTCGACTTCCCGTAAGATTGACATACACACCACTAGCGCAAATGCACTCTCTCTCTCTCTCTCTCTGGTGTGTGTGTGTGTGTGTGTAAAGGAATTTGGAGGCCATGAAGGCGCCCAGCGAGGCTCAGCTCAACGCCGTAGACACACTGATCGATAGCATGAAGATGACCAAACACACGTACGCACCCATGGACCTCCCCCTCCCCCACCCTCTCTCCCCACACACATACAGAGAGAGAAAGAAAGGACGTTTGTGTGGCATGTGATGTGTTGTGTTGACATTGATGTGTGTCAGTGGTGGTGAAGGTGAGGATGACGAGGAGGATGAGGAGGGCGTCAAGGGGAGTGACGAGTTGCTGCGGCCCCGCGACACCTACAATCCCACCAACCAGCGGTTCTTCCAGGCGCTCCTCGTGCGCGCCTTCGACCCACAGGCACCCATTCCTGAACTCGACGAGAAAATCAACAGGTAGGTGCATCACATCCACTGCATCCACTGCTGCATTGCATTCACCCACCCACCCAGATGGGCTGGGTGTAATCAGGGTGTGGGGCGCTCGTTGTCTTGTGTGGTCCATCCATCCATCCATGTGTGTAATTTGTCAGCTACTTGCGTCCCGACACCGAGTTGGCGTCTGCCGCCCAGCCCGCCGTAGATCAGATCAATGGAGCCTTCACATTCCAGAAAGGTGCGTACGTCTGTCTCTTGAGGGGACACACCACACACATGACATGTATGTATGCGAGGCTTCGTTTGCTTGTGTGTGTGTGACACACACCACATGTCTGCAATGCATGCAGTTGAGGCCAAGGCCGTGGGGCGCAAGCGCTACTGGCGTGAGGTGTTGAAACAGAAGGTGCGCAGCGCATCCAGATACACTCACACACACACAGATCTCGTTCGTCCATGTGTGTGTGGTGTATGTATGTGTATGTCGATGATCAGGATGAGAATGTGTTCCATGCCGACCTCGAGAACCTGAAGGTAGAGGGAGACGACGACGGCATGGGCGGCCAGAGGGTGCCAAAGGTAGAGGAGGAGGACGACAGCGAGCAGCAGCTGCCGGCTGACAAGCGCACCAAACACACCATCAGCACCGGACAAACCATCAAACACTTCAATGTGAGAACCCGTCATGGGAGCGTCGTACGTATAATGGATGTGTGTGTGTGTGTGTGGGTCGGTCGGTCGGTTGCAGGATCTTCTGGACAAGGCCAAGACGGACCACGAGGTGTCGGATGTGTTTGAGGCCATGGCGTTCTGCATCGAGCAACTCATCGATGTATCTATCTCATTACAGACAGACAGACAGACAGGCGGCCACGTGACGCATTACGCCTGACATGACTCGTGCTGTGTGTGGGTGTGTGTGGGTGGGCTGACAGGACCGGGAGGGCGGCGGCAGCCGCCGTGCGTTTGAGGCCATCGAGGAGTTCAGGAGCAAATCCATCGACAAGACCAAACCGCAACAGTACACACAATACAGTCCAGTCCGCACACACACACAGACACACACAGTATTTTGTGTCTGCTTGTGCGTGGGTGCAGGTTCAACGATTTGCTGCGCAAGCTGTACGGCCGCCGCAGCGATTTGGTGGCGGAAATTCAGCACAAGGGCATCGCACTCATCACCTTCGAAGAGTGCCCCGGGCCGGGGGCCGTCTCTCTCGCCGAGGCACAACAGTACGCCAAACAAACCTCTCCCCCCCCCCACACACCCACACAAACTCGTGCCGGCCCCATGTGTGTGTCAGGCACTTGTCTGCGAGTGAGACGCCGGCAGCAGCGAGTGCTGGGCAGCAGCAGCAGGACAACGATGACGACGAGCTCATGGGCACCATCACATGATGGGTGAGAGGAAGGATCAAAGGAGGGATGATGGGTGGCCGGCTGTAGAGTAGCTATCTGTCTGCCAACCGATCGATCGCGAGGAGGGACTGATGCTTGCATGGATGGATGGATGGATGGCTGGCGGGAAGGGTGTAGACAGACAGGTAGACCGGTAGCTAAAGCTGACTGACTTGGAAGGTCCATGATGGATGCATGTGTGAGTGCATGTTGCATGTTGCATGTTGCATCTTCGTAGACAGACAGACAGACAGACATGCTGACTGACTGACTGACTGGTTCAAAGCAGATAGATCGGCTTGGCGAGCTGCACAACAGGCAGGCCACACATCGATGCATTGACATTAGGATGGTTCATTCACCGATGAGCGAGTCCACACATCACATACATGCAGGCCAGCGAGGCGACATCCATTCACTCAGTCCCTCACTGCTCCCATCCCCGCTCACTCACAGAGACCTTCCTCCCTCCCGCCATATCCGTCCCAACATCGCGAAGTAAGTCAAATGAACTTCCTGCCCATCTTGACCTTCCTCCTGAATGCCTTGTACCTCGGCCAGAAGAACCCACAGTCCACCTTACGCAGGCCAATCTTCCCACGGATCTTGTGGAACTGCGCCCGCCGCCGCCGATACAGCTTCGACTCGTGACCGATGCACCCATACCCCACCACAGGTCGCGACAAGGCATCGTCGCCAATCTCCTTTGCGGTGTCACTCGTCGGCTCGTCGATGAAGCGGCGGCTGCCGTCGCTGTCGTCAGCGATGCGCAGAGGCCTGGATGGCGCCTCAATCACACGGTGACGGCTGCAAGTCAGAGGGACGGGCGCGGGAAGAGCAAATGGTGACAGGCTGGTCCTCAGGAAGCCCAGATGTCCTGCTGCTGACGTCATGCTGATGGGAGGACGGAGATCAGGGGCGCCATAATAAGAGGCTGCATGCGGCTTTGCGCCAATGCCGGTGAGATGGTGGGCTGCTTGCAATGCGGCAGCCGCTTCTGGGGGACTTGAGCAGGCGAGGAGGGCTGGGAGAGGACAGCGCAGGTAATCGGCAGATCTCGAGAAGATCACACCGAATGTGGACGAGAGTGCTCGCCTTGACCGAAGGTTTCTCAACGACTTCTCCATCTCTTTCGCTAGTATTAGCTCCGACATCGAGTGCACACAATCAAGTGGGCACCGAATCTCGAATTCGGTCCCTATCATGCGAGCTCCGTTGCGATCCGCCTGGCCGCCAGACCCCTTAGCGCCAGACGAAGCGAATTGGCTTGAAAACCACTATCCACGTAGGCCCCATGAGACCCTCACTACCCAGCATCTCTCACTCCAGAGAATTTGTGTGTTCCACGGTGTGTTCTTACAGGCGCGATGAGTGGGATGGCTGGGCCAGGCCAGGCCCACCTCCTCTCCCACCCCCTCTCTATGGATTGCATGAATGTACGTGTGTGGAGTGGACAAGGAAGGCTATGTGTCGGTAGGTACCTACCGACTCACTCAATGCATAACTCAAGTCGCACTCAAGAATTGATGGATGGATGGATGGATGCATACACAGACAGCGCTTGGTCTCACCTCGTCGGCCAGAGTCCCACATGCACCCAACTACAGACACCCCTCTCCTCCCATCCCCTCCTATCATCAAAATGCTCCCTCACTCCCCTGCTGAATTGATTAAAAGAGCCACTCACCTCACCCCCACTGGGCGGCATCCATCTCACGAAAGGCATCATCCATCGGCTGCTCCTGCGCTACAGGCCCGTCGAACGACACGTGTGTCGTTCCATCAGGCGGTGGGTGGGACGGCCACACACCCTCACTCTCTCGAGCGAACGACACCCAACCCTCAACACCACCACCACCACCCTGAGTGATCCAAACACGCACAAGGCACGGATAAACACACGCACACACACACGCATCCATACGTGTGTCCTTATGCTCACCTGCGACAGTTGGTGTTGGGCGTCATCACCGGCCGCAGCAGTGAGGGGTGGGTCTGTCCACCTGGGGTCAGCAGGCCCGCTCTCGAACGCGTCCTTGTCGTCGGGCTGGGGCTCGGTGGTGACGGCGGGAGTGGCTGTGGGTGGCCTGAGGGCCGCACCACTGAGCTCCTCAGCCTCGAAACGAGACACGAACTCCTCCATCGGCAACACCGAATCTAGATGGCACACAACACAAGATAACACAATCCACCCATTGACTTTACTGTCCTTCCCGCCCCCTGCCCCCTCTCTCTCCTGCGGCTCACTCACTTACTTTTGCCGTAGTGCACCATGATGGTCTTGCCTATCTCAGAAGGGGAGGACGGCGGCGACAGCGCCAGCACAGAGGGTTTTTCGCGGGCTGCTAAAGTCACCACCTGGCTCCCATAGCGGTACCGTCCGTCCTTGCCCGGCTCGCGCAGAAAGGACACCTTCAGCAGGCGGGCACTGGAGAACTTTTCCAGCAGCGCATCCACTCGCTCGCTGCTGCTGGTGCTGCTGCCGGTGGCAATGGGCGGTGGGCGGTCGAGTGCTCTGTGGGTGGGCGAGGGGGGCGGGAGGCTCAGCGTCTCTCTCTCCCTCTCCTTGGCGCCAGTCCACACCTGCCTCTCGGCAGATGTGGGGTAGCGGTTCAGCACAGAGATCAGCTGAGGTACCGTACCACACACGCAGAGAGGGATGGATGGATGCGTGGATGGGTCGGGTCGGCCTTTCTCTCCGTATCCCCCCCTCTCTCACCTCTGGTTGTTTCTCGGAGCGGAGCACTTTGATTTCGGCTTCCTGCTCCTCCACAGTGCGCTTGGCCTGGTCGAGCTGCAGCTGCACCGTCACTAGCAGCTGGTCCTTGGTACCCAGCGCCCTCTCCAGGTCCTCCTTCTGCTTGGCATAAGTCGCCACACGCTGCCGCAGCCTGTCCACCTCCACCCGCCTCTCGGTCACACGCCTCTCGCCCTCCTGCAGCTCATGGTTCTCGTCATCTCTTTCTGGTGGGGATGATGCCGCGCTCGTTGCTGAGAGAGAGAAAAAGAGAAAAGGGCGATGGATGGATGGATGGATGGACCTCTTTGTCTGTCTGTCTGTCTGTCTGTGAGGACCTTTCTTGGCAGCCAGCTGGCACTTGAGTCGGTGTATGTCCTCGACCCTCTGTGCCAGGCTAGATGCGAGGCTGCCGACCTCGCCGTCCATCTGCGCCGCCCTGGCGCTGATGCCGTCCCGCAATTGGCCGCCCAGCTGGTCCGCCATCCTCTGCTGCTGCTCCAGCTCGCTGATTCGCTGCGCCTGCTCGCCCACTCGCTCATCTAGCTGTATCAGCTCCGTGGCCGTCTTCTGCAGGGCCTTGGTCACATCCGAGGGGGTGGGGAGGTCGGTGGATTCGGTAGTGAAAGTGTCTGCTGCTGCCGATGCTGCTGCTGCTGCTGCCGTCTTTGTGTTGAGGATGGCCAGGCGTTTCTGCTCCAGCTGCGCCAGCTCTATTTGTGCAGCGTGCTCCTCTTCCTTGAGCTGTGCGACTTCTCTTTTGATCTTCTGCAGCTGATCGTCCCGATGCCTCAGCTGCGTCTGGAGGTCCGACAGCTCCCGCCCGTGGCGAACACGGTCCCAGCTCTGCTCGCTCTCGATGTCGTGCAGCTGATCTCGCAACTGACACACACACACACACAGAGGGAGGGAGAGAGCCACTTTCACGCCCCTCCATCCATCCATCCATCCAATCGTATCTACCCACCTCACCTGGATGATAGACACATTTCTCTCCTGCATCTCCCTCCGCGACATTTGCTCGAACTCGCCTTTCCGTGTGGGTGCGTGTGGCAGCGGCACATGGACGGGGAGGGGCGGCCGGGTGGACCGCATCGGACGGGGGATGGGGGGCGGCAGAGCGATGTCGACGCTCTGGGAACCGGAAGGCGACTTGGCCGTGTGTGTGAGGGGGTGGAGAGGGGGCCTGGTCCTGCTGCTGCCGGTCCGCATTCGGTTGACGCTGAAGCTCTTGTTGCTCTCGCTACCGGGGCTGCCCGCCTCACTCAAACGAGTGTATCCTGGCGCCTGACACACACACATGTGAGACCACGCGGATGAGCGGGGCATACATGTGTTGATTGATGACCTAACCCGCCCCTCTCTCCTGTGTGTCTGTGTGTGTGTGTGTGTGTGTGTGTGTGTATCAATCCGCTCACCATAGCCGCAGCCTTGGTCGCCCCGGCCCCCGTGTGTGACATGAACTGCCCCGCACTCACACGGCCATTGATGCCGCCACTGCTACCGCCGCCCGGCAAGGCCACGGCACCCGCCTCTGCCTTGGGCAACGCCACCCGCGGACTGCCGCCATGGTGAGGGTAGGGATACTGATACAGCCACCCGTTCGGACGACCCGCACCAACACCGCCAGCACCATGGCGATGGCCCACAGAAGTGAAATGGTTCATCGTGGGTGTGGCCGACAGAGGGTCACCACCAGCACCAGCACCAGCAGCCGCAGCAGAAGGAGCCGCCGGAGGGGGCAGAGGCCGGTGTGATGCATACGGCGAGGTGGGGCCGCCATAGAGGTGCATGGGTGCCATGGGTGGCCTCACGTCAGCAGACATGAACCGACCAGCATCCACTCGCTGATGATGCGCCGGGGGTGGTGGGCAGTAGTGCATCATCGGCACGGCTGATGAAGCGTTCGACGGAACGCTCAAAGGTGCGTAGCTCGATGTGTGGGAGAGGGGAGCCGGCTGCCCAACAGAGAAGGTGGGCGCGAGTGGCGGCGGTCTGGCCATCGGCACAAAGGGCGGTCCATCGTGCTGCTGATACGGGGATGCAGGTGGCGGGTAAGGGCCTCGTGGCGCATACATTGGCTCAACTCAGGGGCGAAAGCTGCAATTCTCGCCGGATTCGAAGCGACGGGGACGCTGTGGGACCCTTAGAGCTCGCATTTCTGCTAGGGGACGCTGTGGGACCCTTAGAGCTCGCATTTCTGCTAGGCTCGCACAAGGCTCGCAAAAGGTGATGCGAACCTCCATCCCGCCTCTTCCACTCTACCACCACACTGGCGGCAAGATCCACAGACGATCTTTTTCGGCACCCATCTCTGAGTTGAATGGATGAGCATCCGTCAATGAAAGCATCAGCTGCGGGCAACACCGCCGATGCCAACACCAACACCAGTGATGTGGCACCGAGCGAGTGCACCACCCTCACCCACGCCCGCCCAACCACCACGGACGAGCCCATCTCTCCCACCATCGACTTGTCGTCCTCTCTCCCATCCGATGAACAACACAACCCGAAAAAGGACAAACACAAAGGGGATGGCAGGGTGCCCGGCATCACAAGATACAACAGGTGAGTGAGTGGGGTGGGAGCGGGAGGGAGGGAGGGAGGGAGGGAGGGAGGGCAGTCAGTGGATGCGTGGGTGGTGCGTGGGTGGTGTGGTGTGGGTGTGTATCTGCAGGAATTTCGCGTTTTGGTGCAGCATGTTTTGCACGTTTTGGGTGTTTTCTCACCAGTACATAGCCGTGGCCTTCCTGCCGCCCCTCTTGCTCAAGCGGGGCATCGGTGACTCGACGATAGGCCTGCTGTTCGCCCTCTTCCCATTCGCATCCTTCGCGGCATCGCCCTTCTGCGGCACATTCATACAGAGGTAGGTGGGTGCCTGCCCACTGATGGATGGATGGATGGATGGATGGCCCACTCTGTGTGTGTGTGTGTGTGTGTCGATCAGGGTGGGGGCGCCTGTGGGTCAGTTCGTGTCCCTCCTGCTGATGGGTGCGACCTGCGTGATCTTCGGCTTCACGACTTCCCTTCCCCTGTACTTCATCCTGCGAGGCCTGCAGGGCCTGGGGGTGGCCCTCTACACCGAGAGCATGTACGCACTGGTCACCAGGATGTTCCCACATGACATCCCCTACCGAGTGGGGCTGACGGAGACCTCCATCGGGCTGGGCTGCTGCTCTGGACGAGTCATAGGTACGCATTGCACACACAGCTAGAGGCAGGGAGAGGAGAGAAGAGGGGAGAGAGGCACCACTGCAATCAACACACACACACACACACACACGTACGTGTGGGAGTAGGGGATTATGTGTGGTGTTCATGTGTGAGTAGGAGCGTTTCTCTACGGCTGGATGGGGTTCGCGGCCCCCTTTGAGTTCCAGGCCATCATCCTCTTCACATCAGCAGTCATCGGACTGCACGTCTTCACATGCCCATCGGCAGCGGAGACGGCGTCCACATCCGCACAAAGCACGCCCGTAGAGGTGGAGGGATCGATGTCATACACACCACCACGACCGGTGGATGTGGCCGTGAGGGACGGTCAGCAACACCCGCCCCATACTGCTGCTGGACATGGACATGAGCATGAGCATGAGCATGGGCATGAGCGTCATCACCACGTGTCGTTCTGGGCTGTTTTGCGGCCCTCGGTCGTCACTATTGGCATTGCTGTGCTGCTCTCCTCTTCTGTAAGCCCCC